AAACCAATATGAGGCTAAGTTAAAGATAAGACACATCTATCCAAGACTTCATAGATCTACTAGGAAAGTGTTATGGTTAAGATATGAAGTATCTCCCAGTAAGCTTAGAGTTCAAGACTTCATTCCTGGTTGATTCCCCCTGGACTGTTGTGGGATATTTGTACACTGTATTGCTGTTGTGGGTGTAATAAAAAGTTGAATGGCCAAAAGCTAGGCAGGAGATATAGGCAGGATTTCCAGAAAAAGAAAAGAAGAAGAGGGGAAATCTAGGCCCACAGGAGACACCAGGAGACATGGATAGGAAACCGGAGGTACAAGATGGAAGAGAGGTAATGTCAAGTGACAGAACTTAGATTTAATATAAATGGGTTAATTTAAGTTATAACACCGAGTAAGAAACATGCCTAAGTTATACGCTGAGCTATCATAATCAAGAAGTCTCCACGTCATCATTTGGGAGCTGGCTGAAAGGACAAAGAAAGACTTGTTAGACTATATTTCACTTGAAACAAGGTGCTTTTTTAAGTTCCTGTTATGATCAAAAGTTTCATTTCTAAATTCACCATTGAAGGAGATGTGGAAAAAAATAATTAAGTGGGTGCAAGGTACAAGTGAATGTATGACTCATAGTTCACAAAGTAAAATGATTTGGGGAAAAGGCACAGGAAGGAGAGGAGCAAATAATGGATTCTGAATGAAATGAAGACCTTTCGTGTCCAAGGACTGTCACCAGCTCTTTATTACTTGAGGATTAAGGGAATAGTGAATAAAGCTGCCTGCCAGACAGCTAAAAAGGTAAAAATAACATTATCTCTATGTGCGCCTCACTTGAAAATTTTCAGAAATAACATTCATAAAATTAAACTTTCTATTAAAAGTTCCTGGAATATCAAACTGAGATCAGAGCAATGGAAATGTCAAAATAAAATAGGATTCAATTTTCCCCAAGAACCTGAACAAAATGAAACAACAGTGTGGGTCAAGTTGTAGAATCGCCTATTTTTGCTCCACTTAGTTGCGAGCAAAGAAAGTATAGTAAAGATTTACTCGTGAAGTCAGTAGGGTTTCTTTTTGTTTGTTTTTCAACTACATGGGTAAGTACAAAATAAATGTTATTACTCCTAGGTGAGAACAGCAAACTGACAAAATGTGCTTCATTGTTGAAGTCCAGAAATTAATTAGAAGCCACTCACATATAGTCCCCACCATATATTTTCTCTTGTGTGTATGTGTGCATAAAATACAACATATATATTTCAATAATTTAAGTATATTTAGAACTAATTCTCAGTCCCTTGGCTAAGATGATGCATAAGTTGGACTTTAACTTGGACTTCTTATCTTTCCATTATCAGTCTGTATGGGAAATAAAATTTTTCCTGATGAAGTTGTATGCAAGAGTGTGTTTTACCCTTTGTGAATGTATTTAACTCAAAATGTACAATTATTTAGAGTTCCTACTATTTGACAGCATTCACTGAAGGCCTTACATACATGAACTCTTCTGAAAAGGCCAGAAAAAATTGTTAATTATTTAATGCCTGGGGTAAGTTAAGAAATACTTTTATGATAAAACAAATATGCCCTCTATCTCTGGTATATGATCTTACTTAAGGAAATCTCTAGAAAAATAGTAAAGAATGCAAAGATTCTGTTTGTGCATGTACTGTCCAAGCTACACATAATTCTAGAATACTTGCTCTGAACCACGAAGCAACATGTCTCCCATATACTAGAAGAAGCAATGTGTGATTTCCCACCCCCCCACTTTATTTATTGTTATTACTGAAACTTGTAGACCTGGCTGGCCTCAAACTCATAGCAATCTACTTGGTTCTACCTCCCAAACTATGGGATTAAAGGAATAAGCCAGTAGGTCCAGCCTTAGGAATGCTTTTAAAATGAAAGGTCCCTTCTCCCCTTCCCATCTCCTTCCACCATCCCCCCATATTCTCAATATTTTCAGGAGATCTTGTCTGTTTCCCCTTCAGAAAGGGATTCATAAATATTTCTCTTAGGGTTCTCCTTATTACATAGCTTCTCTGGAATCTTTACTATAGCCTTGATTTTCTTCACTTTACATCTAACAACCACTTATGAGTGAGTACATAACATGTTTGTCTATCTGGATCTGGGTTACCTTACTCAATGTTTTTTCTAGCTTCATCCATTTGCATGCAAAGGACAGATGACGGGGGAAACCTGCATAGAATCAAATTAGGTCCATTGAATGTGGGGGATAGTTGTGAGGCTTGGGCAGTCTATGGGGACATTGGTAGCGGGACCAGGAATTATCCCTAGTACTTGAACTAGTGTCTTGGAGCACATTCTCTTCAGAGGGATACCTTGTTCAGACTGGAGATAGTGGGGAGGGCCTTGGTCTTGCCTCAAAAGTGAAGTGTCAAACTTTGTTGACTCCCCATGGGAAGCCTTACCCTTGTGGGAGGAAGGGAGGGAGTAGGAAAAGGGATAGCTATGCAAAATAAGAAAAGATTGTACTAAAAAAAAAAATAAGAAAAAAAGAAAAAAGAAAGAAAAAGAAAGAACTAACTTAGATACATAAATATAGATAGATATAGATAGTAAATTATCAAGTTATACTTTTTTCTTTTCGAATATTATGTGTGTAACATCTATGTAACCTCCCTATATATTAACATGTTTCATACAAAATATCTTTTAATCCTGCCTACAAAACTATTAGTAAGATAGGGATGATGGTTAATTTCATGGATCAATATAATCAAGTCAAAGTGTCCAAAATGTGATCAAATATCAGTGTAGAAGTTCTGTGAAGGTAATTTTAGAAAAACAGAAATATTTGAACGGGCAGGCTCTAAGCAAAGCAAATAATTACCTTCCATAATATGGACAGAAAAAAAACTTACTAGAAAAAACTGAATGAGAAATACTGTCATTCTTTTGTCTTCAAGAAGTTACTTCCCTGGGTCTCCAGCCTGTCAACCACTCTTGTAGATAAAGGACTCTATAACTTTCGTATATCAATTCTGTAATATCTCTCCATTTCTTTCCCACCCTCCATCTCCCCTTAGCACTCTGGCTCTCCCTACCACCCTCCTTCCCTCCCTTACTCCACATCCACATCCACAAAGATATACATACATCAGTCTTCCCTCATCTGTCATTCACTTTCTATAATTTTAGTCACACAGAGGAGTTTGTCCAGATGTCAGTGATTCTAACTTTAAACTGCCCAGCCATGAAGTAGAATGAGAAGAATTTCATGTCAGCCTATTCTTCTCACCCCATCTAAGACAGTGAATCCACATTATACACGCTACCTACTCTCCATTGTTTATCATCTGCCTTCATTATCTGTGCTGCTTGTAATTAAGAAACCCTTCATGTACTACATAATGGCGTCTAAATTCGAGTACTATTATACTGGAATTCAGAGATGCCAAAGTGAAGTCAAAAAGTAAGTGAAGAGATAAAAAGTCATGACTTAATAAGGAAAGACAAAACATGATTGCTACAGTTGCTAAGATCTATAGTAAGAATTACAGGTATAAGCACCCACACACGCACCCACACACGCGCATACACACACACACACACACACACAGAGAGAGAGAGAGAGAGAGAGAGAGAGAGAGAGAGAGAGAGAAAGAGAGAGAGAGAGAGAGCTCAAATAGTAGACATCTAATTTCTTGCCCAAGGGTTAATATGCTGGAAGCTTGTTCTCTGTTGTGGTAATGTTAAGAGGTCCTTGAATTTCAAACACTGTCCTTGCAGGAGGATTAGGGTCATTCAGGGTACTGCTCTCAGAAGGAAATGATACTCCTTACATGAGATTTGGAATAAACGAAAATGGCTGGTCTCTCCCCGTGGTTCAGCTTCCCATCTCACCATTCAGTCTCTCTCGTCCACGTGATATCCACAATTTCATTCACTACCATGTGATACAGACAAGGAAGTCTCCACTATAGCAACTGCCAAAATATGTGGATTTTCAGCCTCCAAGACAGAGCTACACATATGACTTTCCTTTAAATTCATCAAGCTTCAGGTGGTTTATATAGAAATAAGGATCCTCTCTCTCTCTCTCTCTCTCTCTCTCTCTCTCTCTCTCTCTCTCTCTACTGGTCAATTGGTTTAGAATCTCTGAAGAGTTTGGAATGACACAGATGGGTACTGGAAATGTAGAGCTAAGAAAATAGGAACATGGATTCAGAATGCGATCTTGTCTCTAATCACTCTTTAAAAAGATTATAAAAATCCTCAAGAAACTGTTGTGGAATTGAGTTTTCATATTCAACCTCTCAGCAAGTGTATATTATTCTGACAGCTGTGATTTGGTAAAACTAAACAACTCAGGTAAATAATTTCTCAGATTCTAACCTGCCAATCACTAGAGAATTCTATCTATGGGTATATATAAGAGAATTAAAATCATATATTCACACAAAATCTTGTGTACAAATCTTCATAAAATGTGCAACTATGATAACCAGAAAATAGTAACTAACATAACCAGATCCAAAGACAAATGGCTAGACAGAACACATTATACCCATAGCATGGAGAGGTCTACAGTAAGAAGGAACAAAGCAGAGCTGTGGTTGTAGCTCAGTGAGAGGGCACTGACTACTATGGTGACACTCTGGGTTTGATGCCCAAAATCACACGCATGCATGCATACAGATGGATAAAAGTAAAAAAATCACAACATTCTACAACATGTGTAAATCTTTAAAAAGCATTAAGTCAAAGAATGTAAACACAAAACATACTTTAGGACAATCCAAAATGACATGAAATAGGCTTAGTGAGTGGTTTTCAAGGTCCAGAGAAAAATAAACAAAAGACCAATTGCCAATGAAGATGAGGCTTATCCATGTACTGAAAAGGACCTGAACTAGAAGATAGTTATGACTTCACAAGCACATCAATACACTAAATAACACCCAATTATATACTTTTAAATAGTGACTTACAACCCAATAAAAAATGACAATGACTTCAAAAAACCAACTCACCTGCCCTTTTCGAGGTGTCAAGCAATGAATAACTTCATCCACCATTACTGGAATATGCAGTTTAGTCATGGCTTCAGAATCTTTCTCTGCAGATCTATGAACGTTCCTAGGGCCACACAGAGCTGTCTCTTCCTGAGATTCATATTCAGCATGCACTGCTGCTGAAGTGTGCATTGCTTGGGGACAGATACCCAAATTAAATGCACCGGACTCCACCCAGCAGTAAAATAGTCCTTTGTACATTCTACTAAAACATGAATATCGAAGCATTCTGCAGATCAAAAAATCTAGAAAAGAAAATTAAAATGTGATGATTTGGGGCTTTTAATCTTTTTTATGCACTGGTACTTTGCTTTCATGTATGTCTATGTGAGGATGTCAGATTCCCTGGATTGGAAGTTACAGACAGTTGTGAGCTGCCATGTGGATGCTGGGAACTGAACCCATGTCCTCCTTAAGAGCAGCCAGGGCTCCTAACTGCCAAGTCATCTCGCCAATCCTGTTTCTAATTTTTTTTTTTAAAAGATACACTACTTGGGAGAAAGCTCATTAACGTAAAATGTTTAATTCACAAATAAAACATTTAAGACTCATCATCTAAGCAAGCAAAGGTGACTGCCTTCTTCACATGATACAAGAAACCCAAGTGAATACACAAACATAATTTGAATGTAATTTCTCACTGGGCACCATGACTACATCTACAACTCCAAAACTCAGGCGGGAGGGAAGTTTGAAGAGGACAATCTAAACTGCAAAAAATAATTAACCAATTAATTAAACAAATACAACTTTTGCAATGGCCTTTATGATCTCTGAAACCATCCATTTTTAACCCTAGTCAATATGAAAATTGGTAACTCATTTTCTGCAATATAATTATTAATTAGTTCTAAAGAATAGATTCAGAAACCTTAAAAATGTGTATTTAAAAATTAAACTTGGTTTATGGCCACAGCACCCAGAGTTCACCTAATCTTGTCTAAAAGTTAAGCTAGAGCAGGAAAGAGAATATAAATATTTTATTTTAAGTTTGGTTCATTCTTTATTTTCTGTTGTTCCACTTATTGTTCTCAGTGCTAAATTAGTACATTCAACTTAGCTTTGAGAAGACTGGCACTGGAAATGAGTAAACATGGAGACCAGACAAGAAAATACGTTCACTTTGTGAAAATCTTCCAGATTGTCCAAAGGGTCTCTGACAAGACAGCCTCAGCACAACCTGTACCCAGGAAGCACACACTGAGTCAAGCTACAGCTTAACACTCAACAGGGTATATTTGGGTATTCATTTCTTCCCTCTCACCTTCAATCCTGAAGATCAAGCCCAGTTTACTCATACCACAAAAACAATCAAACGTTAAATACATTGTTATTCCTTTAAAAAAAAAAAACTGGGCTAGGCCTTGCTATGGAACCAGGTAAATCTCAAACTTGATATCTGCCTCAGCTTCGCAAATACTACATGCCATGACACCTTAATATACTTTGGAATTTAAAAGCTACCATTTTGGTTTGGTTTGTCTGTTGTGGGTATGTGGGGGTGGTATGTGTTCCTTGTTAGCTGGAGTTAGATACTGAACCAGGCAGGGCCTGTGTACACTAAGCTCCCTCTCTACAAGACTATACCACAGATCTCTGTTTGCCTAAAACCAAGCAAACAGATAACACAGTCATTGAGATTCTCAAACTTTCTCATCTTCTGTAATTTGAAATTCTTCTAAATTTTAACTGTATTTTTTTTACAGAAAGCACTGCTGTCAATAAAAAACTCAAAATAATGTGGAAATAAGGCAAAGAAATATGGATGCAAAATTGTTTGCATCATCATTTTATTCTTTATTGTACTCAAATTTTATTCATTCATTTAATTATGTTCAAGGTAAAGCCAAGTTTTTTTTACTTGTTTGTTTATTTGTTTGTTTGTTTTTGAGACAAAATTTATTTTTTCTTTTTTCTTTTTAATTGATTTTATTCAGCTATACATTCTTCTCCGCTCCCTTCCCTTCCTCTGCCCTCCCCCTCTACCTTCTCCCATGGTCCCCATGCTCCCAATTTATTGAGACAGTGTTTCTTTGTACTACCTTAGCTATCCTGGAACTAGCTCTGTAGAAAAGGCTGGCCTCGAACTCACAGACCTCCGCCTACCTCTGCCTCCCTCCCAAGTGCTGGGATTAAAGTGGTGGGCAAAGATGGAGAAGGGACTGCAAATGATTATTTGTAGCCTTGAGATTGTTTATAGTATCCCACTTTGTTGGGATGGTACCCTAAAAGTTATTGAGTACAAACTATAAAGGAAATTCCACCCTGGTACCCCCGTCTACCTACCCAAAAAAAAAAAAAAAGAAAAAGAAAAAAAAAACAGATCCCTTTGCAACCTCGGATGACTGTTTAATTTATTGTGAGTCAGTAAACCTGGTCTCCAAAGCAGATTGCAGTGTGTTGTAGGTAAATCTTTTCACTTTTCGACCCTGGCAAAGTCATCTTAAGTTGTGGAGACCACAAAATTGACCAGGTTACTCTTTTAATTGTGGAAATACAAACTGACGACTAGTACTTCCTTCGGACTGCTAACCGTCACTATGATTAGTCTACCCTGAGAGGAAATGTTACAAATGTAATTTTAATTCTAAAAACGCGACCAGCGGGCTGGCGGGAAGGCAGAGGATTCCAGCCCGTCCCGGCCAATCTTCAAAGTCTGGCTCACAAGCAGACCCCAAAGCGGTTGGGGGGAGGAGCTTCTACTTCCTTTGCTGGGTGGAGATAGGATTCCCAAAACCCATAAACCAAGAACACCATCTCCATCCCAGAGCTAGCCACTTGCTGCCTTCTCCTCACCTGAGGAAAGAAGAGTCCTCAGTCAGCCTGTAAGTTGGGCCAGCCGCGACACTAACAAGCAGAAGAGCCTGGACTTGCAGAGAACTAGGTCGGGGGTGGGGGAAACTTGTCAGGACGGACTGATAGGCTCCAACGCGTCGGGGCAACTGAGGTCTGTCTGACTTTCGTTCCGTTGCTCCCAGCACCTGCCAGGAGAAGGTGTTGAGGGTCAAAGGTTTCCAAAAGAGCTTCCCAGGAAAATAAGATCTCATCATTGCCAAGTTTAAACAGACCTTTAAGGATTTAAAAGCCAAATGTCCGTCGCAACTTTAAAAGTAACTTTCACTTTTCTCTTGGGTCGACTATAAAAGTATTTTAGTTTTGTAATGACGCCATACATCATCGCCAGTTTCTAACCAAAGATGGAAATTTCGATCTTCTTAGCCCTGCACATTTGGAGAGCTTTGGTTCTTCCCCCCACCCCTTTCATTTCGTTAGAAAGCAGGAGGTTCTCTTGTCCTGTTGTTACGTCTGCCAAACTCATGAATTGCCAACTACACATTAATGGCATTGATTGTATTGCCCAGACCGCTGTTTTAATCAAATGCCAGATTCCTCAAGAGTATAGATTGCATAATTTGAACACTACTATAAAGCAAATGCAAAGGGGAACTTTAATTAAATTTATAGTATTTGGATTAGGTGTGGCTATACCTGTATCACTAAGAAACCTATTCAGTGTGGATGTAAAAAGCAAAAACTGAAATGTATGTGCCTTATTCATTAACCAATGTTATTTTGCAAAATGGCAAGATAAACATTTTCAAACTAGATTAAAATATCATTTTATAGACACTTGACAAAAAAATGTATTTTAAATACAAATAGCTGGATTTTGACTTTACAAGACAAATACTATACTTCTCTATAGAGATTTTTCTAACACTTCAGTTTTCTCGCAATAAAATCAAAACATGTCTCTTTCTTACTGTCTGTTTTTGTTGTTGTTTTGGCTTGGCTTAATTTTGTCTCTGTGTTTCTCTGGCTGGCTGTCCTAGAACTCACTCTGTAGACCCAGCTGGCCTCAAACACACAGAGATCTGCCTGCTTCTGTCTCTCTGCGTGCTGGGATTGAGAGTGTGGGCCACCACCACCTGACTCTCAGTCTGTTCTGAGACTAATGTGAAGTAATATGTAAGGAGTTAATAATATGCCTGGGACACCAAAGGCCAAGTACTATGTAGTGAGGGATTTTATTTTATTTTTATTGGTCTTTAGAGACAGAGTTTCTCTGTGTATCCTTAGAGCCTGTCCTAGAACTTGCTCTGTAGACCAGGTTGGCCTGGTACTCACAGAAATCCACCGGTCTCTGCCTCTTTGTGCCAGGATTAAAGGTTTGTGCCACCATTGCCAGATGTGAGGGAGCATTTAAAATAAAATTAAGTCTTCTCAATTTTATTGCCAAACCCAGTACAACACAAATGATGTCATTAGCTGGTACATTTAATTCAACCAGAAATAGTCACTTTATTGCTGGACTATCCAGGGCTCAGGAAAAGTCATAGAACATGCATGATATATAGTTTGCAATGTTCCTGATTTTCTTCAATAGAAATAGGGACTCTCCATTATAATCTGTGAGGATTCAACACAAAATTCAACTAACAGTTGCCTGCACTGCTGGGTGTGGTGGCGCACGCCCTTAATCCCAACACTTGGGAGGCAGAGGCAGGGAGATCTCTGAGTTTTGGGCCATCCTTAGCTACAGAGCAAGCTCCAGGCCAGCCAAGGCTATGTAGCAAAACCCTGTCTCAAAATATAAAATAGAGATATGAGAGACAGAGAGAAAGAAAGAGAGAGAGAGAATTCACTATACTGAAACATCCACAATTTTACAGTGATATTCAATCAACTGGAATCTAACCTCCAGGAGGGCAGAGACATAGACTTCATTATGGATTAATGAGTTCCTAAAATCTTCAAGTAATAATTGCTAAGTAAATGGACAGTCATATAAACAACAGCAATGAAATTAACATCAGAATACTAAATTTATCTCAAGAGCTGAGGGAGTCAACTCACTGATAGGGGGCTTGCCTAGCCACAATACAAATATAAAATACAAAATACCCTGCCAAATTAAAAATGAGTTATCTCACGAAAAATATTTCCCATGTTTTCATGCATTTTTTTCTAAAGTATACATTCAGAAATAATACAATCTAGAACAACATTCACCTGGTTGAATAATGTACTAAGCCAATATCATTAAGTGATTTTTTTTTTAATTTGGTAATGTCCTTGGACATGTAAAAAGCCGTCAAATACCAAATATTTTCAGTCAGCCATAACGAGAACAGGCCAGGAAGCCCTGACAGGAAGACTTAGGACCTGGAGCCAGAAGTCTTGAACTTATAATTATTTCAGGTAGAGGCCCCATACCTTCCATAGCATGAGACCTAATTCTTGGAACCCTAAATAATCAGAAAGGAAAAAAGAACAAAATAACCCTTGCCCTTTAACACGTCCACAGACTCCGCCTTCTGCTCCCAAGGAGAAACACACCACCCCAGGCCATTGGACCCTACTCACTCCCAGGGTCTGCGACCAAACTAAGGCTCCCAGGTGGCTTCCCACCTGCTCCTCCGCCCTAGCTCCGCCCACTCCGCCAGCGGCTCCCGGAAACGACCGCGCGCGTTGCCACGGAGACGCCCAGAAAAGCCGCTCCCCCCCCCCACTCCCCCCACAGGCCTGGGAGGCCCGGCCTCTGGCGCCAAACTGCTAGACGCCGGGGCAACGTCCGGCGTGATGACGTCAGCAGAGCGGCAGCCAATGATATAGGTCGCTGAGGAAGCTAGCTTAGGTTTGAATTTGTGGCTGTGCTTGTAGCGCCTGGAAGCCTTCTCCGTCAAGTTGCCGGAGACGCTTTCTCTAGGTGAGTGAGCTGGGCACTGTCTGGGGACGGCTTCTCGGTCACGGGAGTGGAGGGTCCGGCGGCGGCGGTCAGGTTTGCGGACAGAGGAGCTTTGGGCGCGGAGTGCGGACGTGGGTCCCCTTGGTTCCGCGGCGGGAAGGACCCAGGGCTGCCTGTCTGAGGAGGCTTGCGGTTCCCAACCCCGAGGTCCCGGGTTTCGCCTTCGAGCCCCGAGAGGAAACAGGTCCCTTTAAAGGGTAGCTGGCCCCTTTCCCAGACCTGGACTGAGGGCTCTGACAGTCCAGCCCCTTGGAGTGTGAGGTTCCTTCCGGATTCCAAATTCGGAGTAGCCTGCTTAAGCTGCACACGTCAGTGTGCGACGTCTGTGCTTTACTGTCAAGTGAGGAGCTTTTGTGCAGAGCACCTCTCTCTCTCTCTCTCTCTCTCTCTCTCTCTCTCTCTCTCTCTCTCGTCAGTCCGGAGCCCAGGTCTAGCCACATTCTGTTTATTTTTGCAACCCTTTCCTACAGGATCTCATTGGCCTTCGCCTTCCAAAGAAACTAACTTTGTTGGTGTTGTCATTGCACCTCGCCCAGTTTCCCACATTGGGTTTGATTTCTTTACCTTTGGTATTAGACCATGAAATCCACGGAGATAAAGAACACTTGCTATTAAATGCAGTGTATTGTAAGAACTATTTAAGTAAACAAGAATGATTTGCCGTGAGAGGTATGCTCGTTATTGGACCGGTATTTAGAGATATGCAAGGTTTCTCATGTTAAACAGCATCTTGCCCCACTATAGTTATACCGCAAATCAGTAACGACATGAGACATAATTAAGTGAGTTTCTGGTGTTAATGCTGTGAAGAGCGATGGAAAAGGTAATCCACTCTCAGTGCTGACCTTCCCTCCGTGGGAGCTTGTCATTCTGCCCTGATGTCTGTAAGCCAGTCAAATCAGTGGCCCTAACACTGAAGTTAATATACAGAAAGGTTTATGCTAGAAACTCTAAGTGAGGAGAGTTCCCTGTTCTAAACAGTGTTGAAGCAGAATTGTATGAGTTTGACGTAATTCATAGCTATGTCATTCTACTTCTGTACCCCTGTTTGGAAGCAGTCTTTTCTGTTTCTTAGTCGCGTATTTTGGATTTGGATCTGGGTCCAGTTTCCGTCTCATTAGTCAAAGCAGTTGGGAAAAACTACGGAGTTCCTACGTTTATAAACAGACATTGCATGATTATTTTGATGGGGGAATGATATGAATAGGAAGCATTGGTCATACTTCCTGGCAGAGAGAAACTCATATTGTCACCGCTATTGCTAGTCATCGCCATATTGAAGTAATTCAAGTATTTTTAGCATAACTGTCAAGAATAGTTCCTGTGACCCAGGTGGTGGTGGTGCATAGCCAGCTGGTGGTGGCACTCATCTTTATGCACCGCTTGTGTATTCAGAGGACCTAGTCTTTGGTGTCTTAATAACATGGAAATTCAAAGAGTATCAGTATATGCATCAAGTGTGATTGAGCTTTATGACAGTCTCCCTGGAACCAAAGGAAACTGACAAAGAGCAGTAGTGTGAAAAGTTCAACTCTACGACTATCCTCAGAACAGCTTATTCCACAGATAACAATAACTTTCATATTAAACATGGTCTCTGCACTTGATACAGAGTCAACTAGATACCAATCCCTTTTTTAATAATTTATTTTATGTGTGTTGGTGTGTATGTCTCTGTGATGGTGTCGGATTCCCTGAAACTACAGTTGCAGACAGGTGTGAGCTGCCATGTGGCTGCTGGGAATTGAACCTGGGTTCTTGGAAGAGCAGTCAGTGCTCTTAACCACTGACCCATCTCTCCAGCCCCCTAGATCCCAATTTCTTAGTTACCCATGTTAGAAAAAAAAAATCACTTCAATGTAGCAATAATATCATTAATTTCTGAAGATGTCAGTATCTTGAAGTATTTTTTATCTTTAAGAAATCTATATCTGAAAAAAATAAGAAAAAAAAATGCCAGACAGTGGTGGCACATGCCTTTAATCCCAGCACTCAGGAGGCAGAGGCAGGTGGATCTTTGTGAGTTTGAAGCCAACCTGGTGTACAAAAGCTAGTTCCAGGACAGGCTCCAAAGCTACAGAGAAACCCTGTCTCGAAAGAGGGGGAAAAAAGAAGAAATGTATCTCTGAACCTCTGAACCTGGTGGTGGTGGCACATGCCTTTAATCCCAGCACTTGGGAGGCAGAGGCTGGCAGATCTCTTGAGTTTAGGGTTAAACATATTTTTTTGCTCAGTAGGGCTATTTTGAGCAAAAGTGATGGGAATATGTGAGGTAATAGGTAAGGATGATCAAAATACATTATATACTTGTATGAAATACTCAAATTTATAAAATGTCTTAAATGTAGTTCTCATTGAGTCGATGGTCTCTTTGTTATGGACACTAGTGTCCAGTTCCTGGGTTTAATCTATCCTCCTTCAGCCTCCTCAGTAGCTATAACTACAGGTGTGTCATGGGTCCTGTTTGTTTGTTTGGTTGGTTTTTCTATCCACCCTAGGTATTTGATTAAGAAGATTCAACCATGAATAGAACTCTATGGAAGGGCACAGGTCTTGGGTTCAGTCACTAGTATGGAGAAAAAATAGTTTTCTTTGCTTTCTTGTATTCAGGAAGTAGGAAAATGCATGATTCTGTAAAATAGGATCAGTCTGCCATTGTTTAAAAGGATAAAACTAGGTAAGAAAAGACCAATCTTGCAAATTTTTAATGAGATCTAAGAGTTTACATCTGAATTTGAAGCTAATTGGGAATTTCATGGGTTTTTTAAAAGGCAGTAAATATTGGTCAAGTAACATTTTTAGAAGAAATTCTGTCAATCTCTTAAAGGAACTTAAGAAGAATAATGTCACATGTAACTTTGTGTCTCAACCTGCTACAGATTTTAAGAAAAATTGATCTTATTTCTCATTCCTCTTTGTTCTCTAGCTGGAGCACAAGAAAGCAAGGAGTCCCTTGAGCGTTCTTTGAGCTCTACAGATAAAATTACATCCAGGCACTTGAAACTAAACAGTTATAAAGGAAATAAATGATTTAATTAAATTGACCGTGCCAAAACCTGCCTTAGAGCTCCATTAGCCTCCCCTTTCACAAGCTTGTTAATGTCACAGAATTTTGGACTTACCACCTGAAATATACATGTGTAGCCAGGAAAGTGGCTTAGCAGGTAAAGGTACTTGCTGCCAAGTCTGATGACCTGAATGTGATGCTCAGAATCTACATGAAAGAAGAGAATCAGCTTCTGCATTTGTTCTTAGTTACCCGGAGTTGTAAGCTTACGCATAAGGTCCTTGTGATTCTTGTTCAGTTGATGTTTATTTAGGTAGTCACGTTGGTGAGACTTTGTGGATGTAGCTTCTGATATTCCTAGGAGATACAATCTCGCTGCACATTAAGAGATCAGAGAATAGGACCTCTGAATACATGAGTAGTGTATACTATTTCTCTCCCCTCCAGACATGTGCTGGCTAGCCACTGCAACTTAAGAACTAACCCACTGTATCTCTGACATGCAGGGAGAGACAGCCTGGATGCAGCTCTCCACTTCCAAGAGACTACAGGCAAGATCACTTTTACTAAAAGTAAAAGGAGTTCCCAAGCTAAAATTTCTGTTATTACCCTGATCTGATTTAGAAAGATCCTTCCCTGCCCATTTTCCTCATCCAACCTAAAACCTGTGCTAGAGCCATTTGAAAAGTCAAATCAGAAAGTGAATTAGCTCTAATGTTTGAGTTTTTTTAAACCCAAGAACGTGATTAATATCTCAGGAAATTCTTACCATGCTTTTGTGTACATGTGTGCCGTTTGGGGGAGATGTTTTAAGTTTATAGGACTATATACATTTTTCCCAGTAATACATTTTCTAGGTAAATGGAACATAAACATTACCCTTTAAACAACTATTACATGCCAGTTTTAAGTAAAACTAATCGTGACTTTTTCCTGTTTAATTTCAGAAAACTGCCCCAGCATTCATGTGAGCAGGAATCAAGATAACTAAAAATGTCTGTCACTCAGGAGGATTTATGTCACCACATGAAAGTAGTTGTTCGTGTGCGTCCTGAGAGCACAAAAGAAAAAACAGTTGCGTTCCATAAAGTTGTTCATGTTGTGGATAAACATATGCTCGTTTTTGATCCAAAGCCAGAGGAAGTCAGTTTTTTTCACAAAAAGAAATCTACAAATTTTGATATTACTAAAAGACAAAATAAAGATCTAAAGTTTGTATTTGATGCTGTATTTGATGAAACGTCAACTCAAATGGAAGTTTTTGAACATACTACGAAGCCAATTCTTCATAGTTTTCTGAATGGTTATAATTGCACAGGTAATTGTTTCAGTTTGAAGTTGAATTTTTCTTTCTAACTTCAGTTTTAATCTTGTAATAAATCAAGTTAAAGATACAAGCATTCCAATAGTTTTAAGACTTTAATAGAGCTGAAGATATGCCTCAGTGGTTAAGAACACTGACTGCTTTTCCAGAGTACCTGGGTTCAATTCCCAGCACCCACATGGCAGTTAAAAACTGTCTATACCTCCAAGATCTGATACCCTCACACCAGACGTACATAGAGGCAAAACAATGCACATAAAATAAAAATAAATTCTATTTTAAAAAGAAAACTTCAGTAAATTGGATTGAAGTGCAGACTTTTTTTGACATGTAGTCATACATAGCTTATTCTTAATGAAACTTTCTCTTCCTGGAGACCTGCCATTGGCCCTATAAACACTCTTTGCAGTTTTATTAAGCCATCTGCTTCTTATAATTGGTGCCAGATTTGTTGCCATTTGAATTGACGAGTATATCCACTGTTGACCTCTACAGTCATCTGCCCCTCTCAAACAGCCTGCCACTTCTGAGCACTCGCCGTTTCTTTGCAGCACCATCTATACGGTGCCTTAATATGAAAAGGTTAACACGGGGTAAGCTTGAGAGTTGTGTGCTTTTTAGCAGATCTTCAGACCAAGAAGCATTCCTTATACCATAGGGAGGCGATATTTAGTCTTTGAGAAAAGACCAGTTAATTCAGTATCATAATACTAGCATACTAGTATCTCATTTTTAAAATTATCAGTTTTTATGGCGTTTTCTCTAACCTATTCCACATTATAACATGTTTCACTAAGACTGTCTTACTCAGTTTGGTCACAGAAAATTGACATTCTTCATCCTTGATCAAGAACAAAATGCCGTTTATTGGTTGGAACTGCTGGTTCTAACTTGTATCCAGATATTTTGAAGATTCCTCCCTCCTTATTTTTTTTTAAAAAAAAAGATCTCTGTCAATACCATTTCTTTAGTTTCTCTCTGGCTTTGTACAATTTAGCTATCTTAAAGCTTCTTTCATAAGCTAAAGTGAAACAACAGCTTAATTCATTCCAAAAACTATTTTATCAGTTATTAATATATGAGAATCTAATGACTGAATATGGAATTGAGTGTTTGCATTTCTAACTCCGTGGATTTCTTCTACATTTGAAGAAATATATGACTTCTTTATGGTACTGGAACAAATTGTACAAATAAGTAATTTGCCTAAAACAATAATTAAAGAACAATTTTATAAATCACCTTCATGAAATTCGTTCATCTAAACAAGCTTATACCTGCTTTGCTTCATGTTATTTGCTAAAGCACAGTCTGCCTTGGTGGAGGCAGTATGGTCATGCTACCGTAGAGGGATATGGATGATGGATATCATAATTCTGATGACAAATAAGTGAGTAAATGTTTCTACCTGTCACAGTGTGGAAAGCACAAAATAACGTTAGTGCTAAGTAGAAACAGGTGATATCTATTGGATTTAAGTTAGTTACTATTCAGAATATCAGTTAGGGCTAGCACTAGACTGCATTTAGTATTACTATATTGGAACAGTGGGTGTTGATCTCACACCTTTCGTTGAAACCTCAGTACTTGCATATGGTGCCACTGGAGCTGGGAAGACTCACACAATGCTAGGATCAGCTGCTGAGCCTGGAGTGATGTACTTAACAATGTTAGACCTTTTCAAATCCATGGATGAGATTAAAGAAGAGAAAGTGTGTACTACCGCAGTTTCTTATTTAGAGGTAAGTTGACACTAACCTCAACATTAATCACTGTCTGAGAAAACTCAATTGCAATGGTCCTTTCAAATTCTTTTATGCAGGAATCTTCTTGTGAATGTTTTCAGTCATTAAAATTCCTAGTCATGCATGTTTTTCATGATCTTTACGCTAATTTTAATTTTGAGGTATAGAGATATTGCAAAAATAGTATGTAGAAAGAACTTCCAAATAACCTTCACTGAGATGGCCTATATGTTAAAATTTTACACCTGCAGTATACTCTCTGTTGTGTGTGCATTTATTATTTGGTACTATTTATGGTATATATTTATTGAACCAGGTAATTTTTAAACCACAATCACTGAATGTTTACCAAAATCAAGAAATTAACAGTGATTATCATTGTCTAATCGATGAACCTTAATGCACTATTGATAATTTATATTAATAATACCTTTTCCAGAAAGCATTCCAGATCATAAATTGCATTCATTTGTATGCCTTTGGTTTTCACTCATGAGCAGTTTTTGTTTTTTTTGTACTTTATGATACTGCCATAAACCCCTCAGTTTGTTATGTCCCTATTAGACTTGGTTTATTATCTGGCAGACACACCACAGAAGTGGTACTGAGTACTTCCTACTTGCATCAATTCACTTGTGTAGTTGATTGGTCCTATTATTAGGTCCTATTATTATGTTAACTTTTATGAATTTTGTTATGGAATTTTCAGGATTTGCTGATGATTCATATTTGAATATATTATAGATAATGGTGGTCTTTAGACGCCAACATTTCTTCTGTTTATTCCGTAGCATTTTCTGTAAGGATACCTTTCCCTCTATGACAATCTCATAGACTCGTTGATTATTTAATAGTCAGTAGACTGTAGGTATTTTCTGTGATTTGAGGGATGGATGGGAACTTTTTAAACTAATTTTCATGTGATGTGAATGCAGGCATGGATGTGAATGTGTGAAGACATCTTTTAGGAATTGGTTCTTTCTTTTTTTTTTTTTTTTGAGTTGGTTCTGTCTTAGCACCTTGTTGAAGTAGGGGGCTTCTTATTTCTTCTACATTACACCAAGCTGTCTGGCTTTCAGGCTTCCAGACCCTGCTTCCTGTCTCCCTTAGGAGTGCTGACTTTGACTTTACACATGATCTTCAATATGTCTGGTGCTTTTTTAAAAAAATAGGACTTCATACAGTATATATTTTATTTCATATCCCACAACTCCTCCAAGATTATCCCCTCTCCCTATCCACACAACTTCATGTTCTTGCTCTCTCTTAAAAAAGAAAAAGCCACAAAAAAAAAAAATGGAGTACAAATTATTCTTGAGCATGGACCTGCTCTCAAGTGTAGTTGGTATACCCAGTGTCACTCCTCTGAAGAAAACTGATTTTCTGTTTCCCAGAAGCATCATTGGTGAGTAGCTTCTCTGTAGTGGTGGGGTTTTGTACCTACTCCCTCAGGCAAATGCTGAGGTTTGTGTCTGCCTTGAGCTTGTGCAGATCTTGTGAACACTGTCACAGTCTCTGAATTTAAATACATCTGTCCTCTTGTGTCTACACAATCTCTTTCCTTAAAATTGTCCTTCACCTCTGACCTTTCAAATCCTTCTACCCTCTCTTCGCTGAGTCGTGAAAGGAATGAAATAAAGATGGGCAATTAAGGGCTGAGCAGGATCTAACTTTGATCAAGTTTTCTTGGTGTGTATTTTGACCCATCTTAAACACTCTTTGAGATAGAATTTTGTGGGGGCCTATCCTGGCCTTGAACTCATGATCCTCCTACCTTAACCTTATGTTGGGATGGTAGAAATATGTCAGCACATTTGCATTTGTGACTCCTTTTTGTGCACTCAAAGTGTGAAAACCTGGTCAGCCGAAGTTCCTTAGTGCTGCCGCTACCTTTTTTCCATGTCTGTTGTTATCTCCCCCTTTTCATTTCTGATTTTGTTAATTTGGATATTCTCTCTCTGTCTTTTGGTTAGTCTGGATAAAGGTTTGTCTATTTTGTTGATTTTTCTGGACCAACCGACTCTTTGTCTCATTGATTCTTTGTATTGTTTTCTTTGTTTCTATTTTGTTGATTTCAGATCTCAATTTGATTATTTCCTACCCTCTAGATCTCTTAGGTGAGTTTGCTTCTTTTTGTTCTAATAAGTTTTCAAATGTTCTGTTAATTCACTAGTGTGGGATTTTTCCAGCTTCTTTATGTAGGCGTTAGTGCTATAAACTTTCCTCTTAACACTGCTTTCATCTTGTCCCATAAATTTGGGTATGTCGTGTGGTCATTTTCATTGAATTTTAGGAAGTCTTTCATTTTCCCCTTTATTTCTTCCTTGACCCATTGATGATTCAGGTGAGCATTGTTTAATTTCCATGTGTTTGTGAGTTTTCTGGAATTAGTATTGCTGTTGACTTCTAGTTTTAAACCATGGTGATCTGATAAGGTACATTGGGTTATTCCAATTTTTTTGTATTTTTTGAGGTTTGTTTTGTTACCAAGTATGTGGCCAGTTTTTGAGAAGGTTCCGTGAGGTGCTGAGAAGAAGGTATATTCTTTTCTGTTTGGATGGAATATTCTATAGATGTCTGTTAAGTCCATTTGAATCATAACATCTGATAGTTCTTTATTTCTCTGTTGATTTTTTTGTCTGCTTGACCTGTCCAGTGGTGAGGGGGGAAGAGTTGACATCTCCCACTATTAGTGTGTGAGGTTTAATATATGATTTAAGCTTTAGAAGTGTTTCTTCGACATTTGAGGGTATTGCCCCTTGTATTTGGGGCATAGATGTTAAGTGTTGAAATTTCCTCTTGATGGATTTTTCCTGTGACTAATATGAAATGTCCTTCTTAGTCTCTTTTGACTTATTTTAGCTTGAAGTCTATTTTGTTAGATAGTAGGATAGCTACACCCGCTTCTTTCTTAGGTCCATTTGATTGGTATATTTTTTCCCAACCCTCTACTCTGAGACGATGTCTGTCTTTGAGGTTGAGATGTGTTTCTTGTATACAGAAGAAGGATGGATTCTGTTTTTGTATCCAGTCTTTTAGCCTGTGCTTTTTTTATGGGTGGTTGAGTCCATTTACATTAAGGGATATTAATGACCTGTGATTGCTATCTCCTGTTAATTTAGTTTTCATCATTGGTGATGTTAATTTGTGTGTTTTTTTTCTTCTTTGGGATTTGCTGTTATGAGATCATCAATTGTCTGTGTTTTTGTTGGTGTAGCCATCTTCCTTGGGTTGGAGTTTTCCTTCTAGAATTTTGTGTAGGGCTAGGTTTGTGGCTAGGTATTCGTGAAATCTCGATTTGTCATGGAATATCTTGTTTGGTCCTTCTATGTTGATTGAAAGCTTTCCTGGGTATAGTAGTCTGGGCTGGCATCCTTAGTCTCTTAATGTCTGCATAATGCTTGACCATGACCTTCTGGCTTTCATTGTCTCCAGTGAGAAGTCAGATGTAATTCTGATAGGTCTACCTTTATATGTTACTTGGTCTTTTTCCTTAGCAGCTCTTAATATTCTTTCTTTACTCTGTATGTTTAGTGTTTTGATTATTATGTAGTGAGAGGACTTTTTTGGATCCAGTTCATTTGGTGTTCTGTAAGCTTCTTGTATCTTCATAGGCATATCTTTCTTTAGGTAGGGAAAGTTTTCTTCTATGATTTGTTAAATTTTCTGTGCCTTTGAGTTGAACTCTTCTTCTTCTATACCTATTATTCTAAGATTTGGCCTTTTCATGGTGTCCCATATTTCATGGATATTTTGGGTTAAGCTTTTGTTAGATTTAATGTTTTCTTTGACTGATGAGTCTATTTCCTCTAATGTATCTTCAGCACTTGAGATTCTCTCTTCCATTTCTTGTTTTCTACTGTTCGTGCTTGTGTTTGTGATTCCTGATCTTTTTTCATGATTTCTGTTTCTATAATTTCTTTAACTTGTGTTTTCTTTGTTGTTTCTATTTCAGTTTTCAAGTCCTGGATAGTTTCTTTTATATATTTGATTTCTTTTTCTTGGTTTTCTTTAAGTGATTTGCTGATATCTTCCAATTTTTTGTTTGTCTTTTCTTTCATTTCCTTAAGGGAATTTCTCATTTTATCTTTAAGAATTTCAAACATTCTCTTGAAGTTATTTTTCAGGTCATTTTTCTTCTGGTTCATTTATAGATTTTTTTTCTTTTTTCTTATTAGATCTTAATCTCTTATTAAGACTATGATCTAAGATTATCTCTGTTACATTCTAGAAATAGATCTGTCTATGCTTTCACTCCTTGGTTATAGCCAAGGCTTCTGTGCTTATTAGAATCACCAGGTAAGGGCTAGAGAGTTGACTAGGTGTTTAAGAGCATTTGTTTCTTACAAAGGGCCTTGGTTTTATTCCTAGCATCCATGTGGCACACAGACATACATGCAAGTAAAACACTTAACACGAAAAGCAATAAAGTAACTAAGTCTTTAAAAAAGAAATTCTCAGGGAACTGGCCCTCATAGATCACCTTGAGAGTATTCATTCTCCATGATGCACTGAAGCCGTCAAGAGCAATTGCTATACATTAGAAAAATAAGATCTAAAAAAACTGCTCATTTCAATAAATTTATTACATTTTTAAAATGATGTTATTATTGAATATAAAGACATACCAGAAAAAGAAAAATGCTGTGGACTACTAAAACGTGGAAAGAAATGGCAGTGCATACACACCTTCTATGTCACATTGTAGGAGTCTGTGTATGTACATTTTGTTTTCTATGCTTAGGATCATACCTGGAATGTCATGCATCTTAATAATGCAGAATGCTCTACCAAAAGCTTTATCACCAGCCGAGAAAAAAAAGATTTTTTTTAAAGGTCTGGTTTTCTGATTTTTCTTAACTTTTTTCAGAAGTCCTGTTATCATTCTGTTGGCAAATGCTAAATGTTGTGCCTTTACTAGATTCATAAAATTTCTAATTATTATTTGTACAAATCTCTTTTACATGATCCCAAAGTTATAAAATTAATGTGTGTGCTAAATGTAGACCATAAAGAATAACCAAGCTTCAATCCTTATTCTGTTGTTAATTTTATAATCATGGGCAAATCACTCAGTGTCTTAGGTGTTATACATATAGTTCAGATGATGGAGACTGTAACTAATTATATGTTAGACTGAAATTGAAGGATTAAATGACATAAATATACCTATTTCTTACTGGGCTTTTGTTTAACATTTAGTCTATTTCTTACTGGGCTTTTGTTTAACATTTAGTCTCTAAAATTGGTGTATTTTGCAGTGGTGAGAAAGCTGGCTTATCTTTATTTTGTCAGAGTTGTCAAATCAGGAATTAGTGGATGAGAATATAATAGCACCGGTTTTAATAATCATTTGTAAACTGATGTGATCAAAATCTGGGATTGTACACCATCAGTCAACAATGTGCATGTGAGATAATCAGTTAGTTAGACACCACTGTATTTTGGTTCTTTTTATTTTAAGGTATATAATGAACAGATTCGTGACCTCTTGACAAATTCAGGACCACTTGCTGTCCGGGAAGATGCCCAAAAAGGAGTGGTTGTTCAAGGTCTCACTTTACACCAGGTATGCTTATGAATGTCTTTTCTTTTTAGAGTAGCAAATCTGCAGATTTCCATTTCTACCAGTTTGACTCGACTGTGTTTGGGGAAAAAAAAAAACCCAACTAATGAACTTTAAGACTAAAGTAAAATTACAAGGAATCTAAAACTAAGAGTGATTTTTCCAAGGTCACAGAGATGCTTGCAGAATAGATATCAGAACTGAGGATAACCTCATTTTACTTTATTGACTTTTCTTGTATCATCTTCTTATGAAATAATTGATGGATATTTTCCCTGCTAAAAATCTGGCTGAAAATTTATTATTCTGTTAATTATGTTTGTATTTTTATCTCAGAGACTAGATTTTACCCCTTACTCTTTGTATAGCACCAAGTACTAAAGAGATGATACATAGTCAATATTTATTAAAGAATAAATTTATATTTAGCCTTTAAAACTATTGAGTAAGTTTACTAAGGGTCTGCTATTTAGCTCAGTGGTTGAACATATTCCTCATATTCATGGGGCCTAACATTTGAGTCTCTAGCACTTAAATAAAAGTTAGTTGAAAATTTAAAGATCGATTACTAAATTTTTTTTTTCTATTTGAACTCCTAGCCCAAATCCTCAGAGGAAATATTACAGCTACTGGACAATGGAAACAAAAACAGGACACAGCATCCCACTGACATAAATGCTGCATCTTCCCGTTCTCATGCTGTTTTCCAGGTATCAGGCCTTTAGTCTATTACTCTTATGTTGGAATTTAAAATAAAGCCAAGTTGATAAATAATTTTCATATGTGTCAGCAAAATCTCTTCTATGGATAGGTCTCTTTCTCAGGGCTTTAATTTGCAGCTTTTGTTTGCAATATTACTTTGTTTTAAGATATAATCTCATTAAGTTGACCAGGTTGGCTTTGACGTCACTTAAGTAGTACTGGCCAGCCCTGACTTCATTTCATTTTACCCCAGACTCCTGAGTCTCTGGGATTATTGGCACTGTGACATCTTGCCCACTATTAGCATGAATAGTATATTCCATACAATAAGTACTAAGATGCCTTCCCAGCCCACTTTGTTCTTGAAAGTGCTTCAACATCAAAAATATTTAGAATTGAGATGACATACTACACTTCCAATACATGGGTTTCTATTTTTGTGACTTGCAGAATTTCTTGAAAATAGAGAATATTAAAGTGGAAATGGGAGATACTTACCATATAATCAACTGATTCTTTAAGAACGATTCAGTACTGCATTGGAGAAAGTATCCACAAAGATCCAAAGCCTCAGATATTAGTATTCATTATTGATTGTAGTTTCTGGTGCTGTTCATATCCAGATGATTATTTATGTAAAGTTTTACTGTAGATTATGTGTTATGGTTGTTTGTGTGTCTTATGTATGTACTTAGGTATAGGTGTCCCATGGTGTATGTGTTGGGGAATCTCTACTCTTTCCACCATATTTGGATTCGTGAACTCTAACTCAGTCATCAAGTGTTGGAGGGAGGATGCTTGTTGGTTCCCATCGCCCGGCTACCTTAAACCCTGAAGTAATCACACAGAAACTGTATTATTTAAATCACTACTTCCCCATTAGCACTAGCTTCTTATTGGCTAACTCTTACATATTAATTTAACCCATTTCTATTAATCTGTATATTGCCACGTGGCAGTGGCTTTACCCACAAAGTTTTGGCATCTCTGACTCTGGCAGCAGCTCCACAGCTTCTGACTCCAGACTCCACCCTTCTTTCTCCTAGCATTCAGCCTAGCTTTCCCTACCTACCTAAGTTTTGCCTTGCGATAGGTCCAAAGCAATTTCTTTATTCATTAACCAATAAAAGCAACACACAGAATAGACAGAAGGACTTCCCACACTAATCAAGCTTGGCAACAGGCAACTTTTACCCTCTTTGAAATTCATCTTCTCAAGAAGTAATTGTTACAGTCGAAAGTGGTCGTATTAAGCCATTCCGATAGTTTTCATTCAGTAGGTTCACTGATCTTTTCTCTTCCACTAACATTTTCTTTATCAAATCTTCAGAGAAATGTTTATGACAATGGGATTTTGCCAGACTGTATTACATCTTTCCTATGTCTTCAACTCTTTCACCTGTCTTGTTTCAGTTGAAGTGTTCAAAGCAACTGAAGATAGTTATATAAGGGAGGCAGCCCATTTGATGGAATGCATACCTACTATACGCAAATTTCAAATTTTAAATCTTCAGCACCAGTTAAACTGGCATAGTGACTCAGACCTATAATTCTGGTGTTTCAGAAATAAAAGATTCTGAAGTTCAAGGTCATCTTTCACTAGTAAGCTTGTAGCCCACTAGTCTAATAAAAGAAGTTGAGTGGAATATGCCTTCCTGAGCAGCTGACATACTTGAATTGATCAAATTATAAATAGACAGTTTATTTTCACTCATAGGGCTGAAAGATTCAGTCTGCTGTCAACTGGTCTTATATCTTTGGAACCTATGGTGAAACAAAACATAATTGAATGGGGTGTTGCTTACCTTATAATCTGTATTTGAAAAAAAGTTAGTCTTCTATTATTTCCTTGAAGGAAATGCCACCTTGATCCAAAAACCTACTACTTGCTGCCCTCTTTGCTTTTTGTGAAGTGTAAGAGAAATATCATATGCCCAGGTTATTCGAAATTCTTGGAATTAAGTGATCTATCCACCATAGCCAAACACACATACACACACACACCACATACACACACCCTTCCCCACAATTAACCTGTACCTGTATAGACACAATTAACCTGTATAGACCTATTAGGTTTTCATCTAGTGATATCAAGGGGGATAAGACAGTCAACAAATGGGCCCTTGGGACAGCCTTTAGTATCTAAACTCATATGTACCAGTCTTTATTTTCATATTTTTCTCAACTTCAGTAATTCTGGTACTATAAGTATCAGACAGATAATACATTGTTATGCTGCCTTTTAAAAGAATGACTTTGTCTTCGTATATATGATTTTTAATGAAACATTTCTTTTAATTTTATTAAATTTTACCCTTATTTTTTCTTGTTCTATAATTTAAGATTTATTTGCGACAACAGGACAAAACAGCGAGCATCAATCAAAATGTCTGTGTAGCCAAAATGTCACTCATTGACCTGGCAGGATCTGAGCGGGCCAGCACTTCTGGTGCTAAAGGGACACGATTTGTAGAAGGGACAAATATTAATAAATCGCTTTTAGCCCTTGGGAATGTCATCAATGCCTTAGCAGATACAAAGGTAGGTACTATATGTTTACTTGCTAAATGTTTCGAAAAATAGTTTCTACAACATGTGGTGAATTAGATCTTAAACATAAGTGACTCTGAGCTATCTAGTGGTGCTATGTGAATGTCAGTGTCATTTTATGTTTGTTGTGTTGAGTGAGAGAGAGCATTTTGTGGTACTTTACGGGATTGAACACAATACCTCACATGTGCTAGGGAAGTCCAACTGCCCCTGGTTGTCTTTTGAGGCTGGATCTCAAATGAGTTGATTAATCTGGTCTTGGACTTTGTAACCTCTTGTTTCATCCTCCACTAGTTGTAATTACAGGACTGTTCCTCCAGACTCAGCAGTGGTTGCTTTTTTTCAGTCACCCAGCTTTGGACTTGATTGTAAGCAAATATTCAATGATCACTAGACAGCGAGAATGATAGTAAAATTGACAAGAAGTCATGAAAAAATAAAACCTTTCGAGTAAGTCTGTCTAGTTAGTATTTTATAATATACTGTAAACTTGAAGTAATACAAAAGAGTTAGGAAGGAAAGGAGGCTTAAGGTCTGAAGTGTAATTATGTAATAGGGTGTCTACTAAATGCTTTGAAGCATTTAAAATTTTTACATGCACTGTATAGCAGAAGTACTTACTAGTATGTAGTATATTTGACAGTATATTAAGTTGTTTCTAAAATGTGGTAATTGATGTCAGAACAGACTTAAAAACTTTAGGAAGACTGGGTAGTGGTGGTGCATGCCTTTAATCCCAGTACTCAGGAGGCAGAGGCAGGTAGATCTCTGTGAGTTCGAGGCCAGCCTGGTCTACAGAGCAAGTTCCAGGACAGGCTCCAAAGCTGCAGAGAAACCCTGTCTCAAAATACAAAAAAATAAATAAATAAATAAACTTTAGGAAAATTACTGTTAAATTGTTGAAGGTGTTGTTATTTTGATTTAGAATAATGTATTTTAAAATGATTATGAAGACCTTCATGAGAGAGCAAGTTACTAAATTCACATGACCATTGAAAAGCAGCATGTTTTACATTCAATGTTGAACACTCAAAGATTTGCACATGTTATAATACTGATTTGTACAGTCAAGCCTTCAAAGTGGAGGATGTTTGCCATAATTTCCACTTCTTTAATAGTAAAGTTATATGATGATAGCATTAATAACAGTAATGATTCTTTATATAAAATTTGTGTTGTTAAAATGAGAGCTGTATTTTTAATATATCTTTTTAATGAAATATATATTTTAATAAACTTAAGTATTTAATTTAATGAAATATTTTATTGCATTTATTTGTGTGTGTTTGTGTGTTTTGTCTGTGTGAGCATGTGGTCTCTTTATACACTTGTGGAAGTCAGAGGTTTGATTACATTTATTTATTTTCTGGTTAAATCTCTTTTTAAAAATTGATTTTCCTGCAAAATTCAAGATGTTATTTTTTTGGCTGTGTAGTACTCCATTGTGTAAATGTACCACATTTTCCTTATCCATTCTTCGGTCGAGGGGCATTTAGGTTGTTTCCAGGTTCTGACTATGACAAGCAATGCTGCTAGGAAGATAGCTGAGCACATGTCCTTGTGGCATATTGATCATCCTTTGGATATATACCCAAAAGTGGTATTACTGGAATTTTGCAGGAAAATGGATGGAGCTAGAAAACATTAGTTTGAGTGAAATAACACAGACACAGAAAGACAATTATCACATGTACTCACTCAAAGTGGTTTTTAAACATAAAGCAAAGAAAACCAGCCTACAAATCATAACCGCAAAGAACATAGACAACAATGATGACACTAAGAGAGACTTATAGATCTCATCTACAATGGGAAGTAGAAAAAGACAAGATCTCCTGAGTAATTGGGAGCATGGGGACCTTAGGGGAGGGTTGAAGGGTGGAGGGGAGAGGCAGGAAGAGGAACAGAGAAAAATGTAGAGCTCAATAAAAATCTATTAAAAAATTAATCAAACTGGTTTATAAAGGATTCTTGTTTTCAGATAGATTTAGATTCATAGAAGGTTGATAAGATGATGCATATTTCTTAATCCTACTTCAACTTGCTATGCCATGCCCTGTTGATACCCATGGGAGGCCTGCCTCCTCCTGCACAGAAAGAGGAGGAGGAGACTGGGGATGTGTCGAGGCTTGAAGGGAATGGGAGGAGAGGAGGAAGGAGAGAGTGCAGTCAGGATGTAAAATAAATCAGTGAGTTTAATTAATTTAAAAAAAATAGCAATTGTGATCTTACCAAGCAATTCAACCTCTAAGAAACTATCCTATGGGTGTAAGTATACAAAAATGTTAGCTTAGGTAGTCCTTAGTATATTGAATAAACAATGCTAACATGATGTCCTATCAATTTTAGAAAGATTGATTGATCTTCAATCATTGGTGGAAACAATCACTTAGAGATTTTTAGAGGATGAATGCATTCTTGTGTGTTGTTGCTCTTTGTGTGTTATCAATACTTTTATAAGTATCTAATAAATAGGAAACAATGCTTATTTCAAAGAAAAAAGGAGATGCACATCTTAAATATGTATCTCATGCCTAGTTTCCTTGTAAGTTTTTTGATTTGGGATGGGTTTTGCCGGGGGGTTGTTTGTTTTTGGTTGTTTGCTTGGGGTGTTTTGCTTTGTTTTGAAAATATAATCTTGCTTTGCCATCCAAGCTATGTACCAAGAAGGTGGGATTAGAGGCACTTATTGTCACGTTTCCTCTATTGAAATATATTTAAAATGTCACCTTTAACTGAAAAATCAATCTTGATCGTTGTTTTGTTGTGAGGTTTGTTCTTAGAGGTGTTGATTTCAGATGGAGTTTTTATTTATTTATTGTGTGTATGAATGTGTATGATGTTGAGGTCAGAGGACAGCTTTCCAGAGTGAGTCTCCCTTTTACCTTGTCAGCTACCTTTCTTTACCTACTAAGCCTCCTGTCAGCTAGTTGGGACTTCCATAGTAGTCACTGGGTAGTCAAGATTCGTTTGCATCCATTAAACACCAGTTTTATCAATGGACATTGCTTAAATTCCTCTAGTGAAATAATTGTCAATTTTCATTTCTATGTGGCAAATGATATAAGAATTCTTGTTTTGTTCTTTCAGAGAAGGAATCAGCATATTCCTTACAGAAATAGTAAGCTTACTCGCTTGTTGAAGGATTCTCTTGGAGGAAACTGTCAAACTATAATGATAGCTGCTGTTAGTCCTTCCTCTTTATTCTACGACGACACTTACAACACTCTTAAGTATGCTAACCGTGCAAAAGACATTAAATCTTCTGTAAGTGTATTTACTTTGTCTTGTTGTGAGACTGTTGGATATATGATATTCTGATAACTCTAATTGAAGTATTGATTATGGTTTAGTTTTTGTTAATGATTTTGACAATATTAGTTATATTAGAAATGTCCTGCCGGGTTGCTGAACTTTAACTTAGTCACACTTTTTGTGTCTTGTTTACTTATGCCGTGGATGTTGTTATTCGTTCCAGTGGGTGCTGGAGTACTCTGGTGCCTTTTGCTGGTCTTCACATCATGACAAGTAGTGTTTGGATTGCACCACTGAGTAATTAGCTAAGAATTTGATATATTTAGAATTTTTTATTTAATGTAATAAATATTTCTGGAAAATATTGCAATTTATCTGAGCACCTACTAATAATATCTACCTTGGTTTATAACATTCTTTACAAATGAATTTTCACATACATAACATTATGCTAAATCAAGGAGTCTAACAATGACTAGTTAGGGAAATGTTCTTTGCCTGAATTTTGGGACACTTTAAAAAACAAACAAGTGAAAACATACCTACTTTAAAACTACAGAAATCTGGATTAGAAGAGACCTCAGTTAAATTGATACGCTGTCCCTTTGACTACTCCCTTTCCTCTTTAAGTGTCTGAAGATGAGCAGTGTGACACCCTTTGAGAAATGTCCATATACTATTTATATAAAAGGCCAAACTATATGAGTGTACAAAGATTTTCACACATTTTTATGTCTTTACTCCAACTGATTGTGGAGTATTCTAGCTTTGTTTTTTATACTCCACATTACAACTGTTGGGCCAAAGCTTGAAGCAGTTTAAGTACTTGATTTTTAACTTACTTAAATAAGAAATTTCTAGAATATTAAAAACTATTTAATTTCTTCCCCACTCATCTATAAATGTGGATGGGGTCATACTGTTCTAGAAAATATGAAAAAGAGTAAAAATCTAGTATGAACTCAAGCATAAAACAGAATTCTGAATTTCTTAAAAGAACAAAGAAAATAGGCAATTTTTATTATAGTATACAGAAATACTTGAGGGTATTTTTTTCAGTAAGCCAATTTGTTTATAATTTCATATACATGCATACCATACTCTCTTGTCACAGATTGTAAATTATGGTCATAATTAAACATGCTCACATAGTTATGGTTGTCAAAAAGTCAAAATTAGTGGAACAAAATTAATGAGATACAATGCCACTTTGTGCTGTGTTTAGCTATGTGATTATAATCCTAGTTTCTTTCTTTTGGCAGTTGAAGAGCAATGTTCTTAATGTCGACAGTCACATATCTCAGTATGTAAAGATCTGTAATGTACAGAAAGCAGAGGTATGTACCTTGTTCTCAGTGATACAGTAATTACCTGCAGTTTTTCCCTTAAGGGATACTTTATTCCTTACTGTCCAAAATTTAATAAATTTTCTATTATAGTAGAAATCTGTTTTATTTTATTAATTATAACTGAACTTTTGCTGCAGCCATGTATGATGGAGACAAATAATTTGATTTGTATTTTAATTAATGTTTTCTCTGCTAGATTTTAAGGTTAAAAGAAAAACTAAAAGCATATGAACAGAAAGCCTTGACTGACAAAAATGACTGTGGAAAATTAGTGCATTCAAACACTCAAGACAAAGAAATTGAAAGGTAAAACTATTAAACCAGCTGTTGAGAAATATGTAGTTATGAAATATAGTCTTACGTTAATAATAATCCCTTTTTTATGTATTATATATGTATATCTAACTATATATACTCAGTTGAATTCATAAAATTAATTGTCCTTTGTATTTGACACTTTGAAAAGCATTTCTTTTGATTCTATAGATACAAATATCAGAAGAAAAAGCTAGTTTTATCATGTGTGACATTAGTCCTTTTACATACTATGCCATTGACTGCTGTCATTCTGTTTTTCTTCCTAAACTTTATTTACAGCTTTGTAGATTATGTTGAGTTCTAGAGTATTAATTTTCACCTGACCACTATACCACTGTTTTTAAAGTAGAATTAAAAGTCCTAAATTCTTAAAACATTTTAAATGCCATATTCTGTAGTTTTTCAAAGAGTTGAAGATTATCTAACTCAAATATATTTCTATGTATCTAGAAAACCTAACTAACATGATTATAAGCTTGACTTTTATAGATGATTATCTACTAACCTATATTTCTTAGTTATACATTATGTTTTTGAATGAGGTAGACAAACACAATGCCTTAATCAAGATCAAAAATAACAAATACACATAATAACAAATTGACCTTAAATTTGTATCAATAAACCAAGATACATACCAATGCAAATCTCTGAAACATTTATAAACAGTATTTAGAAATTTGGGCATAATTCTCTCCAAACTGCTTCCTGCTTTTTGTTGAACGAAATAGTTTTTTGAGAGTGTTCAAAGCAAGGCTTCATGTGGTCTTGGTCCATTAAACCACATTAGTCTGGTTCTTATCTTTTGTGGAAACAAAAGCAGAACCTATTTTCCAAAGCAACAAATCCTTAGACCCAAATTTTAGAATGAAGATACCTTTAAAATATATAGGTTGATGTAAGTTAGCAGCCCACACAATGAAATATCTCTCTGTACTTAGCTCCTTCACTGTCAAAGAATTCAAAGAAAGCTCAATAATACACATAATCCAGACTCTCTGTGTATTTTCCATCTTTATGATTTCTTTAGTCTATGACTATCTGCACTCTGTCTTTTTAAAGACTTTGTTTTATATTTTGAACGATTTACCTCTTTTTCAACTTTCTATACTCTTTCTTTTCTCTCCCTGGCCTACGTATTTTTATCCAACATTGTGACCCACCTAGAGGTCTTTTTTGTCTGAAGCTATCTTTATTGCATTTCTATATTTCTGTTCTGACCAGGATGGCATTGTAAAAAGCTAAATGCTTCTTAAAAACTTAAGTATACAGCCCTGCCTGCTTGCTCCACCCAGTCCAACATGGAGGAAGTCTGTTCACTGCCTCTAAAACTGCTGGGTGGGAGCGTCCTCACCACCTCAACTCTGATAACCAGTTGGCCGATGCTGCCACCAAGTAACACACTGCCCATAAACCCCATTACATGCTTAGCCTCCTGAAGGAGCCAAAGTTTGCGCTGGCAGCATGGCCCAGAAAGCCACCATTTCAAAACTACTTGGCTTTCTGTTTTCTTGCTACTACTGAATCAGAAAGACCTCTCTTAAAGAAGCTGAGGCACGCTGCCAGCAAAATGCTGGATACCAAGAAGCCTTGCTTAACTTTGTTCTTTTATGTCTAAATTTACTTTTTAAGTCTTCTTAGGTTTTTATGTGGATATAGTTACCCATGTTGTTATGTCAGTTTGTTGTAGAAGGTTGCTCCTTTATTTCCAGCCACTTAGACCCAAAATAATCACTCAGAAACTATATTATTTGGAATATTGTTTGGCCAATAGCTTAAACATATTGTTAGCTAGCTCTTACTTCTAGAATTAACCCATCTCCATTATTTTATATTTTACCCTGAGGCTAAGGTTCTAACTGATGGCTTGCATCTGTCTCTGGCAGTGGCTCCATGGCTTCTCTTCACTCCACCTTCTTTCTCCCAGCATTCAGTTTAGTTTTCCCCACCTACCTCTGTTCTGCCTGCTCAGGCCTAAGACAGTTTCTTTATTAACCAATGGTATTCACAGCATACAGAGGGGAATCCCACATCATGTGTCTGCCTCCAGAAGGAATTGGGATTGAAGGTGTGCCCTATCACCTTCCGGCCCTTATTTGTCCTATCAAAGAAAACTTCTACTTTGATGTAATATTCTAATTGATAATTAATTTTGTTAGTTAAAACATGACAATAGTACTAATACTATACATGTTTCTTGGAATTTAAACTACTAGTTTTCCAAAACTGGAGTGATTACTTTTATAAATTTATTGACATTAACCATGTATAATTTGCCAGTTAAATTGTAGTTCCAGCTACTTCATTTCTGAGGCAGAAGGATTATAGTTTCAAGTCAAGACTGGAAACTTCGGATGATAGTATATCAAAATTGAAAGCATAGACACAGTTATGGTGATATAACTCATGAAGGAGTGCTTGCCTAGCATATGTGGGACCCTAGGTACAGGTTTAGTCCTTGGTACCACAGTTCTGGTGGAGGAAGGAGGGTGGACTTAAAAATTAGGAATCTTTTTTGAGTTGATGGCTTTAAATCATTCAACTCTCTCTCTTTCTCTCTCTCTCTCTCTCTCTCTCTCTCTCTCTCTCTCTCTGATTTTTAGTTGTGTCTGAGGGGATGTCTGTGTGTATATATATGTGCACATGGGTGCAGGTGTCTAGAGAAGTCAGAAACATTGGATTCCTCTGGAGCACAGACAATTGTTATCCATCCTAAGTTTTGGTTTCCATAAAACTTCAATAACATTTTTGTGAATTTTCTGAAGATAGCGGAAAAATATGTAATATTTTCTGACTCTAAAAGTTTTGTGACAGCAATATACAAAAGAGAATCATAAAAAGAAAATGCAATGTTTTTTTATACACAACAGTTGTAAGACTTCTTCTGTGACTATCCCAAGGAAGTAGTATGATATGATTTCCTGTGTTCCACCTAAAAAAATTAATATAAACTTTGTTTTCTAGTTAATTTAGATGTTCTAAATGACTGGAAAATACCTACTACACATTCTCTTAGGAATTACTTTTGTTTTGTTTTTTAAAGATGCTACCTAGAAACACTTGATAATGATTACTTACTTTCCTTAGTAAGCAGTAAACACCAAGTGTTTAAACCACAGAATTACAAATTTGACAGTATTCAACTCTGTCCTTGAATCAAAAAGTTACAAAAACTAAGATAGTGTCTTGGGGTATAACCTAAATATAACTTATCAATTAATTTATTGGCACTAGCATTGGTGTCATAGAGTACTGTGCAATCACAATGTCCACATGTACTTCCTATGAAATATTCATCAGCTTAACAAACTGCAGGGCAGTCAATGTACTGTGGTTTATCTTCACTCCCAGGAGAGTTTCATTAAGAACTACTGACGTAAATTGGTAGTACCTTTACCACAGATCTTTACAGATATTTCTAGTGCCAAAGAACATTTATTTCTTAGTGCACAGACTTGGTTTTATTTTAAAGACTTTGTAACTACTTTTCTTAGATAATTTTGCCTGTGTCAGATTTTTGATAAGACTGAAATATTGTTGAGCCCGGTGTTCTGTTAGTTAGAAGTTGCCAAACTAAGCATTGCCTCAATTTTTCATAGGATTTTTCAGTTTTGAATCATTGGCTTCTTGAGTCTAATAAACTCTACAAATTAGATTCTTTATTTTGCCCTTTGGCGAAGGAAACTACAACCTCATTTCTAGGTTTGCCACATTGTTAACTTGGATGTTTTGGGTCCTGCCAGTGTCAGTTGACTTTTTGCCAAGCTGTAGGGGGTACCTAACCGTATGGTGGATTCTCACTATAATAATCTTTGAAGCTAAAACTGGTTCTCTCACTTTCCCTAGGGGGCCATGGACATACCATATGATAATGCCCCCTATTGCTTTTTCTTCACAGTAAGCCAACACCAAACAGCACATGATGCTCTGTTGCTAATAGGGCTGTGAGAATTGTCACAGTACAGATCCATGTTACCGTTCGTTCTTTGCATTTTTGCTAAGCTTTAAGACTACATATGATAAAATGCAGCATCTTATTATCAGAGGCCTTGTGACACCTAAATATTTAAATAACATTATTTTCTTTGCAGGAGAAAAGCCTACAGTAGTAAAAATTAAAGTTGATATTCACTTCTAAACATTTTTATGGTAGGAGAAAGTTGTTCTCACCTACCTACTATTTATCATTGAGTATAGTCTGAATGATATATGTTATTTAAGTAATCTGTATATTAGATAATATAAATTTAATAAAATATAATGGTGTGTTTTATTTTTGGTAGATTTCAAGAAATTCTAAAATGCTTGTTCCAGAATCGAGAAGAAATCAGGCAAGAGTATCTGAAGTTAGAAATGTTGCTTAGAGAAAATGAACTGAAGTCATTCTATCAACAACAGTGCCATAAGCAAATAGAGATGCTGTGCTCAGAAGACAGAGTAGAAAAGGTACTTCACCACTTAATGTCTAAACTTCAGAGAACATGGAAATCTAATTCCTGAAATTTGATAAGCACCATTTTTTTACTCAACCATTTCTGAAAAGTATAGAAATGCTGTGAGAATCAGAGGAAACTCTAAATAGCAAACTTTAGTTTCATGTGGCTCCTTAGGGACAGAAGCAGCCTGTGCAGTTGTAGGTGACACTTTCTGTAACACCCGATTCTGTGTTACCCTCTCGGTACAGTTTGCGCACCACTATACCTTACGCGAGTATGGGCAAGGGCCTGGAGATTGAAAGAACACACAAGAGACCTGGGTCATTTGAAAGGAGATCATCTGAATGCCGTTTATTCAATTTAGGGGAATCCTTATATACCTAGCTGCTGCACAAGGATTACTGCCCAGGCAGGTGGGAAATTACCATACCAAAGATGAAACAATGCCCTACAGCTAATCACCAGGCCAGGCAGAGGGAACACAGGAACAAACAGAATGTTTAGCTGGCTGACCTGAAACTGTCCTCAAGATGCACCCCAGGAGCAAGGGTAGACTGGGCCCTACAACTTTCCAAATCAGGCCAAAAGGAGAGTATCTGTTATTATTCAGAAAACAGTACATTTTCACTTATCTTGATAGGCACTTCTACAAGATCCTAACCAACTTTTAGTATTTTCAACTGTTGTTTCTGTTTACCGTGGTGAGCTACTCTCTACTCCACAGACCAATCTTCACCCCCCACCTTTGATTTGAGCCACTAACAATGCACTGACTTAAAAACAAGAACCTTCAAGTACAACTAGAAAGGTCAGAGATCTACACCCCTTCATACTATGGAAGAAAGGACCATATCAGAGGGAAACGGGCAAGGAGTAAGAAAAATTGTCTCATCTGAAGACTTATTAATGGTGTTCATTCCAAAATGGTTATGGTCCAAGCTTTAGCGAACTATATATTTTACTTAGAAAATGCCTAGAGTTGACATATAACATGACATCAAACCAGTGCTACCTCTGAGAAATCTAGAAAAAGCCATGCAAAACTACCCTATGAAATAAACCTTAACTCTATCTTTTACATTCACTGTAGGTAAGAGTCAGCAGACTTAACATATAAGACAGAAACCCTGAGAATTTAGACACCAGAGTAATCCAGTGAAAACTAAAAATGGAGTATTCAAAAAAGGAATAGAAAACATCAAAGATAAAGATACTACCAATAAGGAATACCTAAATGTGAAGGTCACAATGTGGGGAAAGCAAATGTAATTTTTAGAAATTATTTATTAAAAATCTCATGTTATCATACAGTACCAGGCAATGCTTAGGCAGTATTCACTTAGTTGTCAGAAAACTCTGTGACGTATTTAATAATCTTCTTTCTAAGCAAGACCAAGGGCAAGTCATTTTGTCAAAAAATAGTGAGCAACCTTAGGTAGTTTAACTATGGTTTAAACTCTTGTAAGCTAGTGCTAGAACTTGCACTTTACCTCTGCTCTTTTGCATGGTGAATACTACAGAATTCAGTATTTCGAAACTGGAAAACAGGTCTAAGAAATTCAAACCAAGTATAACATAGCTAACACGTAGACAAGATGTTTTCAACCCCTGTGGGAGTCAAACATTTCATAAGGGTTGCTTAAGACCATTTGAAAACACAGATATTTACATTACAGTTCATTAACAGTAGGAAAATTACCGTTATTAAGTAGCAATAAAATTAAATTTTGGTTTTGGGGTCACCATGACATGAGAGACTGTATTAAAGGGGCACAGCGTTAGGAAGGTTGAGAACCAACCGCTCACTGTTTTACATCCTAAATCCTGTAGAACTGACAATCGAGACTGTCACAGCATAGTAGTGGTGGGCTTTGTTTGTTTATTTGTTTTTTGTTGCTGTACCTTTGCTCAAAACAATATTTACACCTAAAATTTTAGAATCATGTTTTCTATCTCAAGGCCTGTTGTTTTCTGAACATTTGGTTCCTTGAATGTATAAAGTTCTCTCGGTCTCAATGGAGAAAGGTGCCACCTTTATGTCCTGAAGACCAATCACCATAAGGAATACATTTGATGAGCTCAGAATTATCCTTTTTTGAGTTTTCAGTTAGATCCGTTGTCTTTACGTCCATAGAATACTTCTTGCCCACATTCCTGGAGTCACAATAACATTTGTAAATGTTAAGGCCATGTAGATGTAATTTAGCCACTAACCACAATCAAGGATAACCCCTTTAATTTCGTTTTTCAGAAGATAAAATGACTAAAGACTCATTGAGATTGACTTACTTGAGTTTTCACACTTTCTGAATAACACATTGCCCACTTTCTGCTCTATCACTCCCTAAGCTTCAAGTTTCAGATTTTTTTCTACCATTAAACTTGTCTAGTACTTCAAAGACCTTTGTTTATTGCTAGACTTAGTGTGTTAGAGATTGCTAATGTGATTTACAGAAATATTTGTTTTCTTATAGTTACAGTTCTATGAAGATAATTGATTATTTTCCAAAGCAAAAGACAGCTTGTGAGAGCAACAGCATTGTTTTACATCCTTCCAAGTCTATGCCTGTCTGCACAAAAGTTGTGTTCTCTTATCAGCTTCTGTGATTTTCTGTAGTGACCTTACACCTCTGTTAGCTCCTGGAAAACTCTTAGCCTGAAGTACCATTAGGAATTTAAAAGACTGGCTAGAGAGGTGACTCTGTGGTTAAAGCATTTGTTATTCTTGAAAAAGACCTGGGTTCAGTTTATAACACCACCGATGCAGTGCCTGACAACCATCTGTAACTCCAGTTCTTGGTGATCTTATGGCCTTCTCTGACCTCTGTCCATACCTAACATCTAAGCATACACATTCAAATAAATCAGTCTTTTTATAAATTTGTAAAGAATTAAAAATTATTTTGACCTAGTAAATCCCCTGCAAGGACCCAGGCATCTTCACATGAAAACTGCAGGTGCCCATAAGTTCCCCGAAGTTAGGGACCCTTGCAGTGTAGCATTTGTTGTGTTAGCCTTTGTACTCCATCCGTCCTCTTTTGGGAGAAGATGGGGATTTTGTTTGTTTAAGCGGCTGTTTTGTTTTGCTAAGGTCTTGCCATGAGAAAAAAAAAAGGATCATTTATCATATGATTAGAGAAATGGCAATAAAGAACTAAGAACCTTGATGAGAATAACTTTGCTTATCAACCACTATCCCTGTCATTTGACTCTAGCCTCCTGTGAGTCTGTCTTCCCTTGAGCATTTTGTTTTCCAGGAAAGGAAGTTAAATGAGTTATATAGATAACTAGAATCTGTCTGTGACTTAATAGCAACCACACTGGTTTAACGCTAAGTATTTACAAGCTAATATCATGCACCAAAATGAAAACGGTTTTTTTGCTTATGTTATCTGCCTGAAAATATTAATAATTAGTAATTTTTAGAAATGCTAAAAATAATGATTTATTATTTAAGGAGGACAGGGTCTTTGACCAAGTACGCACAGCTCTGCTCTATTTGTGGATGCCCGTGCTTTACTTCAGAACCAGCTACAAGTGATCCTATCTCTGAGGACTGATTCTTTCATATATACCCATCATATATAGCAATTATTTAATTCAGTGACCATTGGCAAATTACCAAGACCAAACTATTCTGAATAATGTCTCCCGTGTTAGCATGCATAGCCTTTGGGCTAAATAAAATCAGAAAACCAAATCTGACCAAAAATAGTCATGAAGATGTAAAATATCAAAGACAAGGTATCCATTGTGGTATTCAACCTGACCATAGGCAAGGTCAAGTATTGATATATACCCCGATTTTTTTTTCTCTGTCATTTAGAGCAGGCAAATTAAATCAACAGAACCTTTTTTTTCTTCATATCTTTCAGATTGAAGACAAGAACAGAGTGTGCATGCTTTTTTTTTTTTTTTCGAGTAAGGAAATCATGGAATTTATCTAACCTTATATGAACTTTACAAATGTATCATGCAAAAAAACTGATATAGCTTTCCATTTGACCACTGCTTTTCTTAAAGCCATAAACTCAAGGTGTAATTTTATTAAATGACTCACAACTGATTTGCTATTTTGCTATGATATTTTAATAGGAAAATAGCAGAAGGCCTTAACATATTGTACTATACCGATATAAGAAAATATGACTTTTTGAGTGTTATACACATCAAATATAAGAATTTAATATATTATTAAATACATTGTTGTGTTTCAGGCCACATGCAAACGAGATCACAGACTTGAAAAGTTGAAAACTGTTCGCTGTTTCCTCGAAACAAAGAAGGAAGAGGTGTTGAAACAGTTTGATGAGAATACTAATTGGCTTCAGCGAGTGGAAAGTGAAATGAGGCTCTTAGGTCAAAATGGTGACATTCCAGAGGTACAAATATGTATATATGTGCTCAGATTTAATCTTAAAGACTGAGCTCCTTAAATTTCTTGTGTTTCTTGTTGAGTAAATATCTTTCGTGTGACGACTGCTGCCCTGCTTCTATGGGATTTAATTAATTCACTTCTCTGTTTTAATGACTATGTCCTTAATTCACTGATTACCTTATTGGTTTGTGGTTTTTGCTTTCAGAAGGTTCAGTTTACTTTTAAGTGTTTTTTAAGTAAATGTCCTATATGAAGTAACTCTTAATATAGAATGAAGCAAGTGTTTCAAACTGGTTGAGGCTGCATCATCTGGGCCTCTTACACTTTTCCTCTCACAACCTCTTTTTCCCTGAGAAAGTGTTTTGTGATCATGAATATATAAGTATGTAATAGATTTACAGATCAAGAGTTTACACATTATAAATAAAGGAACTTATTTTAAAGCAGTAGTTCTTTTGTGAGTGAGAGTGTGTCTGTCTGTCTGTGTTTATCATTTATTAAAGACAAAATCAAATTTAAGTACTAATGAAATAAATGGTCTTGTTATTAGGACAACTTTTTAGAATTCATCAGTTTTTGTGTTTTTTTTATTGATCTGGAATAGCGAGAATGTTACCTTTTTATATGGATAGTACAATTTGGCAGAGGTTTACTTAAGGCCATTTTCGAAATGATTGGAAATTATTTCGTGATCTCAGCAAGCCAAAAGTCATTGCTGATGTTTTATGAAACTCAACCAATATCTCAAATAGTGGCTGGTAAAAATCAAACATAGCATAGTAAAATCCAAAGATACAGAAATTCGATACTTTAGTTGCTGAGGAACAAGTCTTTATTCTCTGTGAGCCATTGTGTTTCTGTAGAATAGAAATCTTCGAATGTACAGTAAAAACAGTACAATTCTTACATTCACTATTCTTGAATTAAAGCAAGTGTGTTTTCAGGCAGCTTTTATTGACATTAACCAGTGCAGAGTGCTATGTATTAAGGGCCAGTTTTACAGTGAAGTTGTGATTCAGTTTGAGGATACGCAGCCCAAAACACATCTCCTATTTACATGTTTGATGTTGAATTAACTTGTGATCCTTGTGTATTCAAAACCTTTTACTGTGGCTCTATATTCTCAGCGCCCTATATTCAGGTTCATGCCCCAGCATGGGAGTGCACCCAACAGTTAAGAAGCTGTGAAGGGAATAGTTATGTTTTAAACTTATATATTCATTTAAAACTTAGCTAAAGTATTTGTATTTTTAGCATATTGCTTGCCTTTTTTTAATGTTGTAATGTTTATAAAGTTAATATCATTTGAGTTACTTGTAGTGAATTTAGTTTTTTAATATGCTGGCACATAATCTTTCAGATAATCTAGAATTTTTGTTTCTGGTTTGTTGAAAGGTCTGTGTTGCCTTGGCTGTCTTGGAACTCAGTATTAGGCCCAGGCTGGCCTTGGATTCATAAAGATACATGCCTTTGTCTCTCCAGGCCTGATATTAGTAGTGTCTACCCCCAGTCTGCTAACACTTCTAGCAGTATTATTGTATACCAGACTATGAGCCATTACTTTTTAGCCCTTTATATATTTTATTATAAATAGCTCAAGAAAGATAACACTTTCTAGTTCTACCACCTAACTCCTTGTTCTGTTTTTGTAAGATGTCTCACAGCTGAAATAATTATCTAGCCTTAAGCACTTACTTGTATAAACAAAGTGTGAGCTGACTTCACAGAGGGACTTACCCAAGGTCCTGCAATTCATGGCAAACACTACTTTTTTTTCAATTTGAAATGAGTGCTCATTTCAGTGTGTGTGTGTGTGTGTGTGTGTGTGTGTGTGTGTGTGTGTGTGTGTGAGTGTGAGTGTGTGTGTGCAGTACCACAATTGTATTTCAGACTAACACCAACAGTATCACTCTTCAGTGTCCTGTCCCTACTGTACGCTATGATGGCTGACCAAACCTGGCACAATCTGGCACCCTGTTTTTCTAAAGCTTACTATGCCCTCCCATTGTACTCTCTACTTCAGTGGTTAGCTGACTTGTATTTCTTGTACTTGTGGTCTGCTCTTCAGATGTGATCATTGGTATACTGAGACAAGAACACACTAAAATTACAGTCTTGCCATCTACCCAGGATATATGATGGATTGGGTGGAAGAGTGGTTGCAGAGGATAAAAGCTAAGGAAGAGCTGGGTTTTATGGTTTGTTTGTTTGTTGTATTAGGAAGGCATTTGGGGTTCTTTGGAAAACATGTTTGCACACTTATTTGATGTTCTAACTGAAAAACTATAAGGAGATCAAGTCAGATGAATCAGTTCAGCCTTCCACGTTAGTCAAGTAAACTGATCTCCATAAAGGCCATGTATTTGGCTCGAGTTGACATTTGTTTCAAGACTGAGCATATCCCTAAAAATCAAATGACTCATAGGTCAATCCTCTAGACATCCTGGTTCCATAAAAAGTGTTTTTATCCAAAATACATGATATATTTCTTGAAGTATAAAGGTGAATTATGTAAATGAATTGTGCTGGCTAGTTTTATGTCAACTTGATGCAAACTAACGTCATTTTAAAAGACAAAACCTCAGTTGAGAAAATGCCCCCACCAGATCGCCTTTGGGCAAACCTATGGTATATTTTCTTGAATCTCAGAGTAGCATTTCTTTGTCAGAGTTCCTAGTTATCAGTGGTATGAGATGTATTTTATATGTAACAAGCCTGGTAAAGAGGCTATATTTCTTTGTCCTTAGTAAAACATTAACTCTTTATGTATCCTTTTGGTCTTGAACATAATAAATTTGATAATAATAATAATAAAAAGAACCCCACCCCATTCCAAAATCTCAATCTGTACTTTAGACAATCCATGTTCAACTGTAGACTAGCAAGAAGTGTGAAAAAAAATTGAAATGGAATACCAATTTTTTTCCTATAAGATAACTCCAGGCATAACTCTGCTGTTTATTAGATTGTAGTTTACCAATCCAAATGTCCCAGAAACACATTTTATTACACAGTTAAAGATGCTAAAACTGCTGGGGTATTTTTTTTCTTTCATATCTCTTCATATTCTCTGAGGTGATTCTTTTTTTTTTATTAAGGATTTAGTGAATTTCAGAAGAAAAAGAATATAAGTGGTAAATTAGAGGGCACCTGACCCTAAACAGAAGAGCATTGGGAAAACTGAAATATTCAAGAGACTTTTTTATTCTTTTCCTAACATGAGGCTTGTTAGAAGAGTATAAGGGATGAGAGAAAGAATTGTGCAGCATGCAACTCAACACTGACCTGTATACGGAACTAACTGATCATAGTCCATCCTCGGATGAACCTTACCCTCTAGTCGAAATGCAACTGCACAATGAATAAATAGCATTCTTATTGGTCAGTACTGTCGCGGTGTGGGGAGATAGAGATTGTCCATCTTTAAGTGTAGTGCTCAGGGAATCCCTCTTTTAGTGGTGGCATTTAAGTAAAGACTTCTGGCACAACTGTTTTTTCACAGTATTGTAAAAAATTAGGTCAACAGAGAAGCTGTTGTCATGGTATGCCTTTTTCCAGATGCCTAACATTTATTTTTCTGAAGAAATTTAAACTCTTACCTTGCTGCTAAGTTCTTGGCTATTAGTTTTATGTTCAGGTTGACACAAACTAAACTCATTTAGACAAGATTTCTTATAGTCTAAAATCTTCAGCGTGTTTTTTACAACTTTAAAAAAACTTGGTATCTACATGAAATAAGTTATATTAAAATTAGACTAATTCTTTAAAAACTCTACAATACATTTTTCATTATTTTTCCTAGGTACTCAGTAAAGATCTTCATTGTCACCATTTTCGGCTCCAGACTAGAGACCTGAAAACACAAATGGGATATTTGAAGGCCCTAGCTTGTCTCCAAGAGCGGCAGCACAGTCAGACTGAGGCGTAAGTACATGGCATTGGATAGTCCACCAATCTTAATGCTACAGGAAATAGAAATTTATCTGAGAAGGGATTCATTAATTTGAATTGTTGGTCAGCATCAGAAAACATTGAGAGAATATGAAGGATATGGTTCTTTCCTAACAACTAATTATTTATAGTACTTTGTAGTTTTTCAATGTATTTTATTTTTTAAGATTTTGTGCTAAAAAAATTAAAACTGCTATTAACACCAATTAGATTAGATAATTTTTGGTTATTAGTAATTCCAGAATGATTTTTGTTTGTTTGTTTGCCTTCTCAATCTTCTACCTTCTGCACTCATCCCAGTCTTCAGATGAAGTCTGGGTCCCATAACCCAATAGCCAAGTCTGATAGCATCACCTGTAGCTTGCCTACCTGTTTGCTTGGACTAGGAGACATATCCTGTTTGCCAGCCCATCCTTCTGTAGTCACATGAGACATGTAACCACAGAAAAATCCATGTGCTCAGATCCCATTACTATTACTAGCTTTTAAGGAGAATCAGGTATCTCAATTATTTTATAATCTTTATTATTTAAATAATTTTCTTTAACAGTTTCACACATGTGCAAAATGCATGATGACCATTCCACATCCACCCCTTCTCCAATCTCAATCCTGTCTTCTCTCCCTTCTTCCCTATGAATCACCTTTTCACCTTGCTGTCTTTTTCTGTTTTTTTCTTTTCATTTGGTTTTGGTTTTGGTGTGTGTGTTTGGTTGGTTGGTTGTTGTTTGTTTTTCTCTTTTGTTTAGTTTGGTTTTTTTCTCTTTTATTTGGTTTGGTTTTGTGACCGATCAAGTTTAACCAGACCCATCTATAAGATCATAATTATCCATTGAAGTCTCCTGGGCTCAGGAATGGATATGCAACTGGAGATAGTGGTTCACCCTTTCCCAACTTCTATCTTTTCATCAGTAATTCAGCAGTAACCCATAGGCACCTTGAGCCTTTCTCCCTTCCTCGGTTGATTTTTGACAGGACCAGTCTTGTGTGTGCCTAATGTTGGTCACAGCGGTTGTTATACATTCATGGTTGCAGTGGCTGCATCAAATCTAGAGAATGGAACTTGCAGCCCTTCACCCTATCTTCCAGCTCTGAGATGCTTTCAGGCACTTCTATCATAATGATCCTTGAGCCTTGGAAAGGGTGGTGTAAATGCCTGTTTTAGGGCTGAGCCCTCAGGCATCACTTTTTCTCAGCATCTTTGCTGGCTGTGAGTCTCCAGATTCATTATTGTTCAAAGCAGAGACTTCTCTGATTAGAGTTAATAGTAGTGCTTTTTTTTCTTTCTTTCTTTTCTTCCTTTTTTGCATGGGTATAAACATAGAAATTTTTAAACAGAGATAATCAGTTTATTCAATAGTACTGAGTTACCCACTTGGCCTTTGACTTCCCCTGGCATTGGTGCTAACAGGCTTCAGTCACAAGCATGAATTCAGTCCCATGGATTGTGCTTCAGATCTAGTCAGTTGCTTATCCTTTTTTTAAATAATAGTTTTTTAATTTATTTTACATACCCCTGTCTCCTCTCCCCATGTCCCGTCCCTCCCCACCTTCTACTTTTGCATAAGTTGTGCCACATCTTGTCCACAAAATTGATGGGGTTTTGCTTTGGTTTTTGTACTAATAGGTTCACAGCTGATAAAACCACTGATACCTTTCTCCCTCTACAACCTTAATAACATCCTCCAACACTTATATTCCAGTAACCAAAAAAAAAAAAAAATCTAAAAGAAATAGAGGATTTTCTGCATAAATGAGTTTCCAAAATGAAGCAAAAATGAAATAAATAATTCAAACAGCAATAACAGTGAATAAGCAATAAAAAGTCTCTCAAATAAAAATCTCCCAGGACCAAGTGGTTTTACTACAGATCCTGTCAGAGCTTCAAAGAACTAATACCAATGCAATGCAAAGTGTTCCATAAATGGAAAAGGAAAGCTTCCAACTGTATTACCCTGGTAACAAAACCCAGAAAAGTACACACATGTTACACACTGTTGTGATGAACACAGATGCAAAACTTCTTGATGTAATACTGACATACTGAATTTAAAAATCACATCAGAAAGATTCTTCATCATGATCATGTTAGCTTCATTTCAGAGATTTCAGGATTTCTGCATATATAAATCAATAAATACAATACATCACAAAAATGGACAGAAATCACAGGATTATCTTCAGAGTCACAGAAAAGGCCTTTGACAAAATCCTATGTCCCTTCGTAGCATAAATCCAAAGAGGCTAAAGATGCACAGAGCACACCTCAGCACAATAAAGGCTCTATTTCACAGACCTGTAGCCAGCATTGGACTAAATGGAAGAAAGCTCACAGCATTCCCACTAAGGTTAGAAGTAAGACAAGGGAGCCCATTCTTTTTACTTACACTAATTACAGTGCTTGAAACCTGAGCTAGGACATTAAAAAAGAATGGAGTGCCAGGTGGTGGTGGTGTACATCTTTAATCCCAGCACTTGGGAGGCAGAGGCAGGCAAATCTCTGAGTTCAAGGCCAGCCTGGTCTACATAGTGAGTTCCAAGACAGCAGGACTGTTTCACAGAAAAACCTTGTCTAGGGGGAGGGGGTTTGACACGGGAGTGGGGGTAATTAAAAATAAGTCAAAGTTTCCCTACTTGAAGATGATATGATTCTGTAATTAAGAGAACTTAGTGGCTTCACTAAAACCTCTTACAACTGTCCAGTGCTTTGCAAATAGTGAGGTACAAAATAAACACAGTGATACAGCAATCTTCCTGTAACTCCAGTGGCAGATCTACTGAACCAGCAATCAGGGAAACAGTCCCATTCACAATAACATTAAACAATAAATAAATAAATGCCTGGGAGTAAACCTAACTATGGAAACAAAAGAATTCTACAATGAAAAATTTTAAAACACTGCAGAGAATAAAAATAGCACCCTTCTTTGTTAACTGGATGATATAATTCTGTGAAAATGGCCAGAGTGTTTCCATTTTTAATGTCTTCTTATAGTCACTGTACAACTCACTAATAGAATTTTGTTTTCAGTTTTTTAACTATGATTTTCCTCAAAAGTGTGGATTAATCTCTTGTCATCTTTTATAAATCAGTTACAGTTTGTTAGGTAGGCATTGCTTTGAGGTTATATAAAAATGAGAGGTCTATGTCTCTGTGGGCTTTCATTCAAAAATCCCAATTGCATTCCACAGGTATTCTCAAATTACCTGGGATTAATTTTTCTATGCTTTTGATTTAAAGTAAGCTATTTTCAAGATGAAGAAAAGCAATATTTTATAAACGGTGGCTTACACTCATCACCCCACTTGTGGGTCCTCAGTCACAGCAAATCACCTTCACTTGCTATCAAGTGGCATGTGGGAGCTTAGGCTTTCAGAGACACGGTAGTTTATTTTAACCCCACTATGCTCTTATATCAGACACAGATTGATATGCCTTAATAAGCTTTACCTTAACAATGAAATAATGAGATAAAATCGATTCCAATTGATTTTAACAACTAGTGAACCAAATTATCTCCAAAGCAATGTAACATTGTAGAACGTGAATGAGTTTTTCGGCTCAGTCTTGAATTCTGCTTGTTTTAGCAATAGACCCTTGTAGAAACTATGTAGCATTGCTAAGCCTTAGATTTCTCATTCATTAAAATAAATTATTATATAAACATAACATGGTACTTGAGTTTTTTAAATTTTTCCCAGGTTTAATTATTTACTAATGTTCATGAGATTCATATAGTTATACTCAAAGCTATGAGTTAGTTTAGCAAACAATACAAAATAAAACCAGCAAAATGGAAAGGTGTATTGGATAGTTCGGAAGAGATTAGACAAATAAAATTTAAAGAATCTTGTTAAGTGCCAAACAGGATGGCATTTGCCTTTAACTCTAGCATGCAGAGGCAGAAGCAAAATTCCTGTAAATTTGCAAACCGCCAGATCTGTGTGGTAATAGTGAGATTCTAACTTCAGAAAGGAGGAATCTTGTATAGTATATGCTTAATTTCAGCAAAAAGCTATGACATAACATCACATTGGAAATTGGGTTCTGTCAGTGACTCAGGGTTTTATTGGGGTGATTTATGTGACAGATAAAAATGTCAGACTTTCCAAAGGAAAGTAGGCAATCCCAATAATGCCTGTTGCTTAAACACACACTTTAAATATAGTGAAACACTTGTCATTTCCAATCTGGAAATTATGAAATATTCCTAACATCAAAACAAAGCTTTCATAGCACTTTCAAACCTAGTAATCTTACTCTGCACAATACAGTTGCCGAAAGTACGGGGATGTAAGTCTGTCCTGCTGTAGCTGACCTCCTCTCCTCAGATCTGCAGCCCCTTTCCAACACTTGCTACTCTAACTTGTTCACTTTCTATCTTCTGTGTAGTTACTAAACTGCATCGTGTATTCCCTATACCACAATGTCCATAGGTTTAATATTGATGCAATGCCTATCAAGCTGTAGGTTAGTCGTAATCAAAAAAGTGGCAGAGAGAAATTGAGGACTTGTAAGATGGCAGTGTTCCAGCCAGGTATATCCCTCAGGGTCACACAGACGCCTTGTTTTCCTGATTCCCATCCAGGATTCTCTTTATACTGAATGTATTAAGTATATGTTGAGCTGTTTGGGTGAAATCACAATTTTTACAAAGCAAATTTTAATTTTGAAAAGGTTTTAATAATTGATGTTTACCTGGGTACTAAGGGAAAGAGGGACAGAGGTAGTCTTAGGAAAGGACAATTTGACCTCCCCTATACTGGTTCAGGCTTCGCTAGAGAATTTGCCAAGTAATATTATGAGAGAAATCATTTTAATGATATTATAATACTTTGCCTGTTTTGCAAAAGAACAGTAATAGTGTCTTGACAACTTTGTTTCTTGCTTTTTTCTTGTCATCTTCTCTTCGTAGAGTATTGAATGCTTTACTTCCAGCCTTAAGGAAAAAGTATTGCATGACGAAAAAAACTGATCTGTCAAAGGATGCTTTTGATTCTGACTTCGAAGATATTGAGCGTTTGGTGGAGAGGAAGAAGGTGGTGGTTTGGGCCGACCAAACTACTGAACATTCAAACCAGAGTAATCTTCCAGGGATTTCCCTACTTATGACCTTCCCACAGCTTGGACCCATTCAGGCTATTCCTTGTTGTAAGTACAACTTTGTTTTTTGTTTTTTTTTTGATCTATAGTGTTACTAGCATGTATGCTTTTTTTTATTTATTTATTAAAAATTTCCATGTCCTCCCCGCCTCCCTTTTCCCTCCCCATCCCCAACTCCTTCTCACTCTAGTCCTAAGAGCAGTCAGGGTTCCCTGCCCTGTGGGAAGTCCAACGTCCTCCCCCCTCCATCCAGGTCTATGAAGGTGAGCATCCAAACAAACCAGGCTCCCACAAAGTCAGTCCATGCAGTAAAATCAAAACCATTCTTGCTATTGTCCTTGGCTTCTCAGTCAGCCTTCATTGCCAGCCACATTCAGAGGGTCCAGTTTGATCACATGCTCCATCACTCCCAGTCCAGCTGGCCTTGGTGAGCTCCCATTAGATCAGTCCCACCTTCTCAGTGGATGGACGCACCCCTCGTGGTCCTGACTTCCTTGCTAATGTTCTTCCTTCTTCTGCTCCTCATTTGGACCTTGGGAGCTCAGTCCAGTGCTCCAATGTGGGTCTCTGTCTCTATCGCCATCCATCGCCAGATGAAGGTTCTATGGTGATATGCAAGATATTCAACAGTGTGGCTATGGGACAAGGCCAGTTCAGGCACCCTCTCCTCTGCTGTCCAAGGAACAATCTGGGGACCTCTCCTTGGACCTGGGGACCCCTCTAGAGTCAAGTCTCTTGCAAACCCTAAAATGGCTCCCTTAATTAAGATATTTACTTCCCTGCTCCTATATCCACCCTTCCTCCATCCCACCCATTCCATTCCCCCAAGCTCTCCCAGATCCTCCCTTTCTCCCTTCTCTCTACCCATCTCCCCTTACATCCACTCCCCCACCCCCGTGCACCCAAGTTTTGCCTGGCAGTCTTGTCTACTTCCAATATCCAGGAGGATAACTATATAATTTTCTTTGGATTCACCTTCTTATTTAGCTTCTCTAGGATCACTAATTATAGGCTCAAAGTCTTTAATTATGGCTAGAATCCACTTATGAGTGAGTGCATACCATATTCATCTTTTGGGGTCTGGGTTACCTCACTCAGTAAAGCGTTTTCTATTTCCATTCATTTACATGCAAAATTCAAGATGTCATTGTTTTTGACCGCTGAGTAAAACTCTAATGTGTATACGTTCCACACTTTCTTTAACCATTCTTCTATTGAGGGGCACCTAGGTTGTTTCCAGATTCTGGCTATTAAAAATGGTGCTGCTATGAACATAGTTGAACAAATGTTTTTATTGTATGATAGGGCATCTCTTGAGTATATTCCTAAGAGTGGAATTGCTGGGTCCTGAGGTCGGTTGACTCCCAGTTTTTTGAGAAACCGCCACACTGATTACCAAAGTGGCTGCACAAGTTACCATTCCCACCAACAATGGATGAGTGTTCTCCTTACTCCACATCCTCTCCAGCATAGGCTATCATTGGTGTTTTTGATTTTAGCCATTCTGACAGGTGTAAGATGGTATCTCAAAGTTGTTTTGATTTGCATTTTCCTGATTGCTAAGGAGGTTGAGCATGACCTTAAGTGTCTTTTGGCCATTTGAACTTCTTCTGTTGAGAATTCTCTGTTCAATTCAGTACCCCATTTTTTAATTGAATTAATTAGAGTTTTAGTGTCTAGTTTCTTGAGTTCTTTGTATATTTTAGAGATCAGATCTTTGTCTGATGAGGGGTGGTGAAGATCTTCTCCCAGTTCGAAGGTAGCCTTTTTGTCTTAGTGACAGTGTCCTTTGCTTTACAGAAGCTTCTCAGTTTCAGGAGGTCCCATTTATTCATTGTTGCTTTTATTGTCTGTGCTACTGGGGTTCTACCTTGGAAGTGGTATCCTGTGCCTTTATCTTGTAGACTACTTCCCACTTTCTCTTCTATCAGGTTCAGTGTGGTCAGATTAATATTGAAGTCTTTAATCCATTTGGACTTGAGTTTTGTGCACGGTGATAGATATGGATCTATTTTCATTCTTCTACAGATTGACATCCAGTTATGCCAGCTCCATTTGTTAAAGATGCTTTCTTTCTTCCATTGTCTAATTTTAGCTCCTTTGTCGAAAATCAGGTGTTCATAGGTTTGTGGGTTAATATCTGGGTCTTCAATTCAATTCCATTGGTCAACATCTCTGTTTTTGTGCCAATACCAAGCAGTTTTCATTACTGTAGCTTTGTAATAGAGTTTGAAGTCAGGGATGGTAATGCGTCCGGAAGTACTTTTATTGTATAGGGTTGTTTTGGCTATCCTGGGTTTTTTGTTTTGTTATATAAACTTGATTATTGTTCTATCAAGGTCTGTGAAGAATTTTGTTGGGATTTTGATGGGGATTGCATTGAATCTATAGATTGCTTTTGGTAGAATTGCCATTTTTTTCTATGTTGATCCTCCCAATCCAAGAGCATGGGAGATTCTTCCATTTTCTGGTATCCTCTTCAATTTCTTTCTTCAAAACCTTAAAGTTCTTGTCAAATAGATCTTTCACTTACTTGATTAGAGTTATACCAAGAAACTTTTTTTATTTTAGTTAGTGGTAGCATTATTTCTGAGGAGACTATTTATATTCCAATCTACAGAACAGTTGGTTGCCTTTCAGTAGATTTAGTTATTTGATGACCACTATCAAAGAAACTAGCTTCTAAGTAATTTTAATTAACAAGAATCTCCCAGGCCCTACAAGCATGTATATACTGATGTTCTGAGTAACTAGCAGTCTCATTTAATTCTCATTCTTATTTAAATTTAACTTCAACTAAAGACCAAAGCTTATAATAAATAATATTACATTCTATAATCCAACCTTAAAATCAGTACTATAGAATTTAGTGTTTTTCTTTTGTTTTTTTAGTTAGTTTTTTTAGTTTTTTTCTTTAGTTTTCTCTCATTTTTCTAACAAATTGTGCCTAAGATATTTTCATTACAAAACTAGCCTAAAATCTTGGTTTAAAATGACACTTTTTAGCAATGTAGAATAACAAGCAGAATGCCTTGTCGTTGAGATAACCGATATTACCAATTTGGTCATCTTTATATGCGCTCTCTCACTTGCACCTTCTGCCTTCCCTTGAGCTCTCTGGGTTTGTTACACAAATATGTTTTTATTGAGTAAGCCTAGCTATTTGTTTGGTTCCACATGAATGCTAGCACATTACATTTGGGTCTGCAAGTTTTCTCGGTTCCTGAGTTTTCTATAAACATTTTAAGTATACCTACATCAGAAATTTACCTCATTTAAAACTTTGAGAACCTACAAAATAAATTTGCAGTGATTTAATCAGTATTCTGTTGAATAATGCCTTAGAGATTATGCCTATGTGTGTTACTCAGAATTTGCATTGTTCTAAACAGATTCCTGAGAAAGGTTTTATTTTGATCGAAGATTTTTCAAAAGATTCAGTCCATGATCACGTGGGCAGACCATGCTATGAGCAGGAGCACATTGTGGAGGAGTTGGCAGATAGGGAGCAGAGAGAATGGGGGGGGTGCTGGGGGCCAGGTATAACCTTGTAATTTATGCACTCACGTCTTCCTGTGATGTCCAACCTCCAAGAGTTTCTAAAACCTCCCAAGAGGGCACCTACTGCTTATTTAACACATGTGCCTGTGTGAGACATTTTATATTCAAACCATAGCTGTGTGTATTTGCATCTATGCTTTCCTAGAAACTGATTTACTAGATTAGAAAGCAAAAATAATTTTTTCAGTATAAGTACTTTGAAAATTTTGAGCTCCAAAAAGTGTAAGTTTCTTGTGTAGATACCTAAAATCCCAGATGCCTCAAAACTGAAGCTGAGAACCAATGTCACAATCAGAAGTTTTGAATTTTGGCTCAATTTTTATCTTCAAGTTGCATATGTCTATACAAATATCCTAAATTTGTGTGTGTGTGTGTGTGTGTGTGTGTGTGTGTGTATTCAATTATTGTCTCTGGTGTTTAGGATAAAGGATACAATACCTGTACCTAGTACTTATTGACTAGCAAGTTCATGTTTAATCTTTCTGTAAACCAGAACAGTAACACATGCCTTTAGAATTTATTACTATTTGGATTGCTGATAGCATTGCTGCATCATTTACTATATATTTTTGGGTGTTTGTTGAGTTGCTCAAGGTTTTTGTTGTTATTTGGGGTTTTAAGAGGAATTTGTTTCTTTTTTTGAAGATAAAGAACTTAATTCTCTTTTAATTTATTTATTATTTTATATACATTGGTGTTTTGCTTGCATGTGTATCTGAGGGAAGGTGTTGGATCCCCTGGAACTGGAGTTACAGACAGTTGTGAGCTGCCGTATGGTTGCTGGGAATTGAATCCTGGTCTTCTGGAAGAGCAGCCATCTCTCCAGCCCCAGGAATTTATTTCTTACACAAAGTCTTGACTATATAATTCATACTTCAAGCCTGCAACTTGAAGCCAAAGCTAGCCTCAAACTTGAAATCCTCCTGCCTCTGCATCCTGAGTGTTGGATTATGAGTTTATACCACTGCACACAGTGCTTTATCAAATCTTTAGTCGTTCTGTATTTTTACATTTATGTAGTCCATTGTGGAGAATTGTCTAGTGACCTGACATCCTTCATGAAGCTTTGTTACCTCTCACTCTCAAGTGCTCCCAGTGTACTGAGCTTTTTTTGTCACTTCCTCTAGCAATGCTAAAATTTCTCTTTTGGTTATCAACTTGATATACCTTTGAAGAGGGACCCATAACCGAGAAACAGCCTCTTTCAGATTGACCTATGGATATGTCTGTAGGGCATTTTCTTGCTTTCTTATTGATGGAGGAGGGCCCAGCCCACAGTAGGTTGTTTAAGAAATCTGAACAGAAATAGTGAGCAACAAATAAGCCTTGTCCGTCTATGAGTTCTGCTTCAGGTCTTGTATTCAGGTTCCTGTCTTAAGCTCTTGTCCTGACTTTGATAGAGGGTGGACTTTATATACTGTAGGCTGAAGTAAACCCATTACCCTAAGTTACTTTGGTCAGTAATTATCACGGAAACAGAAAACAGA